TGGAGGAACTCTTGTGCCTTATACAATTTCAGATTCCAGCTGGAAGAAATCGTTTTTAACAACTCGTTGTTTCATTCGTGTATCTGTTCTTGATAATTCTGTGTTCGTTCCTGTCTAATTTCTGAGGACTGATCACTTGGAGCCGAGGACGAAGAAAAATGAAACTTTGAATAATAGAATAATAGAATCTAAATAATAGAAAATTCGTAATTGCTCGGTTCCAAGTGGTTCCCTTTTTCTCTCTACTATCCTAGAATTCTCGAGCTTGGTAAAGAAGGTGGTTGGGTCTATTTTTTCCTATAGAGACCGTGAAACATCGGCCAATACTGACCAGGCCACCGAGAAACACGACCGTTCTGATAGGAGACAACGTTACTATGACCTGTGAGGTTCTATCGGATGCGCATCGCCACCTCGAATGGTATCACGGTTATCACACCTCTTTCGACACTGTCAACAAAACCAATCAAAGTTTCCGGGTGGAGGTCAAGGTGGGCACGTAGAACTATTTCAAACTGCACGACACTCTGCTTCTACCTCCTCTCTATTCTTAATCAAACATTCTTCTTAACTCAGCGGTGTTTGTGATTAACGCTTTCGTTTCCTAAAACCTTACACTATAATTAAAACCCAACTGCAATATTTTATAAATATTTTTCCATGGAAAGAAATGCTTGGTCATGTAGTGCCTCGATAGTAGTGTTAACAACGATTAGAATCCTTCGCTTGTTAGATACCTCCTGTTTAAGACTAATTACCGAAGTAGACAAACTTGATTTTTTCTTTGTTACAGGCTGGAGGCGCAGAGAATCCTGAAGTACTGAAGTTATATAATGTAACTGAACAAGACGAAGGATGGTACACTTGTATCGCGCAAAATGCCTTGGGAGAAACTTTCAGCAGTGCCTATCTTCGAGTGGTCGAAAGTAAGAAAATACCTGATAATTCCTAAGTACACAGTCAGACGTTATTCGAATGTGAGAAATTAATTGTTTTCTGATAATTAGCTCTGGAAGAACAGGGAATGCCGATAACAGCGAAACCACAGATTCTCGTCAACGTCCTCGCGGCTGTTCTCTTCATTTTCTTCGCCGTGGGCGTAGTGGTGGTCATATACATCTTCCACCGTTTAAAACGCGAGAAGATGAAGAAATTGCTGGCCATTGAGACAGCGAGAGCCGCGGTTGTTACTCAATGGACCAAAAAGGTGATCGTCGAGAAACAGAATCTGGTGAACGCTCAGAACGTTCAAGAACCCTTGCTGATGCCTGTGGTGAAGATCGAGAAACAAAAATCAACCGTCGCCGCAGAGGATAGCAACGGAGGAAGCATTTCTGAATACGAACTCCCGGTGGACAGTGCCTGGGAACTGTCCAGGGAACATTTGATCTTGGGAAACACTTTGGGAGAGGGTGCTTTTGGAAAAGTGGTCAGAGCGCAAACGAACACTGGCAAACCTGGAATCCCTAACGTCGTCGCTGTAAAAATGCTGAAAGGTATGTGAACACTATTATTTCATATCTTACAAAAGCTAACGGGCAAGTCGCTAACTCGCTTAGGTTAGTTTTTTCGACCCATAATCAAAATTCCTTACGTCGACGAAGAGTCAAGTGTTGGGTCTTCCGGACCCGAACACAATGATTGATAAGTCCCATGAGTGGGCAGATTATTGTTTCCAATGAGTCTTGTGGGGTTTATGACCCGTTCTGCCGTTCCCAAGTTTACATTTATACCGGCGCTGTTAAAGAGTGCGATTGCGCTATTAAATCCACTCCCCAGCAGCCACCTCCCAACCAAGTGGCGCCGGATTAGTCATTGCACTCATCGGAAGGCCCAACACTTGACTCATTGTCGGCATGTAAAGAATTTTGATCTAGGACGCTTTTACTTTGACAAACTAACCTGAGTGGGTTAGCAACTACACCCACCAGGCGCTTTACGCCCATAGCCAGAGCCCCGTTTGCCACCGGAATAGCCGGTGCCCGGTCCACACCACAAGGAGAAAGGGTTGGCACATGACACCGCTGGGGCTGGCTGCAAGGCCCCGAACGGCACGTTTGTGGTTCCCCATGAGTGAGCAATTTATCTATACCCGGAGGGTGGCGCCACTTGAAGGGTGGTGGCTGCTGCGGAGTGGATAGTTAATTAGCGCTATAGCGCCCTTTACCACCGCCAGTATAAGCAAAAATTTGGGAATGGCACAGCTGGTTATCAACCCCACAAGGCTCAGTTAAACAATCACCAATCACCTTACAGAAGTTAATTATACGATAAATCTGTTACAGAGGGCCACACAGACGCCGAGATGATGGACTTGGTTTCCGAAATGGAGATGATGAAGATGATCGGTAAACACGTGAACATCATCAATCTGCTAGGCGCGTGTACACAAGGAGGACCGTTATACGTTGTCGTGGAATTCGCGCCACACGGCAATTTACGAGACTTCCTTCGTGATCACAGACCATCGTCAGGATACGAACCAACGATCGGCCAAGAGCAGAAGGAGAAAAAAACGCTCACGCAAAAGGACTTGGTGTCGTTCGCGTACCAAGTAGCCAGGGGTATGGAATACTTGGCTAGCAGAAGATGTATCCATAGGGATTTGGCGGCCAGGAACGTCCTGGTCAGCGACGAATACGTGTTGAAGATCGCGGACTTTGGACTAGCCAGGGATATCCACTGTCACGACTATTACAGGAAAACGACAGACGGAAGACTTCCGGTTAAATGGATGGCGCCCGAGGCTTTGTTTCATCGGGTCTATACCACTCAGTCCGACGTGTAAGTAAATAAAGAAATCTTAAAGTAGCAAAGTAAAATTCACCGAGATTTCTTCTGACAATATTCAATGTTTCAGATGGTCGTACGGAATTCTGTTGTGGGAGATCATGACATTGGGTGGCACCCCTTATCCGTCCGTACCGTCCGTGGAGAAATTGTTCCAGTTACTAAGGACTGGACACCGAATGGAAAAACCACCGTGTTGTTCCATAGAAATGTAAGAACGGCGAGACCATTCTCTTTATTCTACCTATTAAATTATCCATTATAAGAAAAAAGAAAATAATAATTTGCTTGCTACAGATACATGTTGATGAGAGACTGCTGGAGCTATCAGCCCAACGAGAGACCAATGTTTGGGGAACTGGTAGAAGATCTCGATAGGATATTGACGATAACTGCGAACGAGGTGAGAAACAGTTGTTCAAATCAAATTTATCCTATGTACGAATCAAGAATTTCCCGTTTACGTTTTCTCTCGTGATCTCAATTTCAGGAATATTTGGACCTTGGTCTTCCGCAATTAGATACACCGCCTTCCAGTCAAGAGTCCAGCGACGCGGACGACGACGGGAGTGAAGAAAACTTTCCATACCTCCTGTGAGGATGATTTCAATGCCCATTGAAACGTTCAACGAGAATAACGAATAAAAACGAAGCGAAAAAGAAAAATAATTTTAAAAAAAAGAAAAAAAAAAATGAAACGAAGGAAAAGCTCCGAGGTATGGAAGTCGATCGACTGACCTAACGAACACGCCAAATAATATAAATCAGTATTGACCTGTTAGCGCGTATCCTGTAGTGTTAAGGAAGATGATAGGAAGAACGATTATCAAGAAAACGGAACTCGAGGCCTTCGAAGAGACTGATCTTCATACGGAGAAAACACTGTATTTATTTTCCTGTTATCCTGTAGTATCCCGACGATCTTTCAAACGTTGGAACATTTTGACCTTCGCAAGGATATCGTGATTCGTTCGATCAACACATTGAACACTTTAGTGCATGAACGAACAATATTGTTTTCGAATAGAGAAGAAGAATAACCCAAAGCGTTTCAACGTCGTCGAATTTTGTACATGTTTATTACCGTGCCATTAACAAGTGCCTTGGGAAGAATGTGAGAAGCTTAGGCAATTTTCAGCCAGGGCTTTTATTACCCAGGGATAGAGGAATGGGAAGAGATAATTTACACAGGAAATCGATTCATCTCGATGCGAAACGTGTTTGTAACTAGTCAATTGATACAGTTTTACGTTTCTCTGTAACATATAGTAGTAAACGATAAATCGTATACAAAGTTAAGTGTTTATACGCGAAAAAGGACATTGAACCGCGAGTTTTCGCGCATTTTCGAAGATTTTTACGTGGGGGAAGAGCTCATTTGGCTCACGCGATATCGCGTGCTTGATTATCTAACGTTAAATATCTGATCGCGCGAGATTTGCAAAATTTCTCCAATCATTAATCGTCCAAGTCCGATGTACACAAAATGTGAAAGATGTATAAATGATACATGCGAGAAGTGGCGTTTAGTCGTAGATAATTTATTTCTTGTATATTGTTACTTAGGGCCTGTTTAGGGATTCATTCTCTGTTTTATTTTTCTCCTTTCTTTCTTTTTTGTATCAACGTCAAGCGGAATAATGTATGTGTAAAATAAAAAAACAAAAGGACACACCACGTTGATTTAACGAGAGTATATAAACGCGCGTTCGTAGAGTCGGAAAACTTTGTATATAGCGGCGATGATTGTTTATTTAAAAAATGTTTCTCCTGTTACCCGACACACCTAAAGGTAGCCAGTAAATCAGCATTTACCAAGGTAGGATCGTATGTATAGTCTGCGCAAATATTGGATTATTATTGTAACGTGAGTTTCATCTCGAATAAATCACTGGAAACTGTACCCACATTACTCTCTGTCTATTTATTATTTTCAAATGTTTTTTCTACTTTTATCAATACTCTACTTTTTTAAGAATAAAATCAGATGGTTGAAAGATAAGAGTCATAACGAGTCTGGTGACGGAGTAGAAATGAGAAGCGAAAACAATTAAGTTCTAATGACTCAAAAAAAAGACATGATAATTAACGTAATGAGACAATCAGACAAATTGATCTGCCTAAGTAAGTCCCGTGATTGATTAACGATAAGAGGATATCGAACCCCCACCATTCGACGAAACCGCGTGTTCAGAGAAAAGTTAACTATGGAGGACCGATGGCGCTGCGATCAGTTCGTTTTGTTGTCATCAGCCACATTTATGCTAAGTTGTTTTTACCAGATTTTTAGTGGAACATTTTAGTTTTTATTCTTCCATTTAGCTTCGATTTTATGATCAAAGATGCCAAGGATGGTACGGACCGTTTTCTCGAAACTTTCTAACGAATAAATCGAGTGAAAGTTACCGTTGTGTCCTACACTCGACATTGAGGTTAGAATCCGATAACCCACTTTTTCTGGAGCAACGAATTTATTTCTTCACGCTAATCGTTCATCACTGAACTTTCTTTCGGTCCTCGTCAAACGACAGACCCGTCAGATGATGTGACGATCGTAACTGATTTGACTTAATTTCATTTCTACAGAGAATTTACTTTGTTTGCAATAACTTGTCACTTTCTAAGAGTTCTGTTAAAATTGCATGATCATTTTTGCAAATAAAAATTTTGCATACTGACGTGTATGCTCAAAGTCTTTGAAGTATAATAATTTTGGAACAATTCCATGATACCCATAACGATAATTATGTGATATCGCAGGTAGTGACATTTATTAAATGGTGATCACCAGTGTCATGGAGAGGAGAATCAAATTGAAGACATTAAACAGTCATATAACATGCAAGATATGCAGAGGATATTTGATAGACGCCACTACTGTGACAGAATGTTTACACACTTTTTGCAAGAGTTGTTTAGTAAAACATTTAGAAGAAAAACACACCTGTCCGACATGTCAGATAGTTATACATCAGTCGCATCCGCTTCAATATATAAGTTTCGACAGAACTATGCAAGATATTGTCTACAAATTAGTTCCTGATCTTCAAGAAAGTTAGTAACTCTGTTCTGAATGGAATCGACAAAGATAAATGGATTTCTCTATGTATTTAATGATATATTATTTCAGATGAAATTAAAAGAGAAAGAGAATTTTATAGAGCAAGAGGTTTACCTTGCCCCAAAGATATCCTACCTAATGCTGGAGAAGTTGAGGAAGAAAAAGCAACTGCGGATGCACACGCCGAATCAGACTACCATCGTGCCGATGAACAGGTAATTATATTTAAAACAACAAGCCCATATTTCAAATTACGTTTCAATTAATCTAACTATTATGTATTTTCAAAGGTTAATGTATGCTTGGAGTGTATGAACACAAGTCTGAAGACTTTGAAACGAAGATTTATTAGGTGCTCTGCCCAAGCAACTATCACGCATTTGAAAAAATTCATTGCAAAGAAGGTATTGAACGGAATGGAAAAATATCGAGATGTAAGTATAAAGTATTAAAGATATCTCTGTTAAAGATTTCAGTTAATTGATGTGCCTCGTTTGCAGATTGATATTTTATGCAATGACGAACTATTAGGTAAGGACCACACGTTAAAGTTTGTTTATGTAACAAGATGGAGGTTCCGGGACCCACCCTTAAGGCTACAATATAGACCACGAATAGACATTTAAGACTAATATTTCTGTGTTCAGTATCCGATGGAAATCACAACAAATCTGTGACTTTGTTTATATGTTTCCAAGTTCTATCCGTGTATTGTCCGTTGTAGTACTTATTTCTCTATTCCCGCACAGGAAGAATTCAAGATTGAATTTCGCAGGCGGAAATGGTTTTTCGTGACAAAAGAAAAATGACTTTAGACTTATATCTTTCTACTGTATTAACTTAACCAGAATAGTCGTTAGCAACATGTTTTTAAAAGTAGCAATTCCATTCTCCTATATTCGATTATCTTTTAACTTACTTTTTAATTACACTGAGTTACATTAACTCAGTTCTTTAAGTTTTATTTCGTTAGCTTTCCTTAACGTACATTCATAAGTAGGCCAAGAAAACAATGCGACACTGTACACGAGAGGAAAAAAAGCTTTGTTTCTGTCTACAAAATCGCAGAACTGTATATCTATTTAATTGAAATGTTACGTATCCTTCTATCATTCTTTTATAAAAAGTTGGACCTTCTTTGTTCTGAGATGGGAAAGTGGTGGACAGTGTCTACCGCGAATGAAGATTTGTTACTTTTTCCGTACATGACAACGGAACAATTCTTCATAATCTTAAGACGTGACTTTCTTTTTATACATACCCTAATTGTATATAGAATATTTTTTGACAGAATTCTGATAATATTGCGCGTAGACGCAGCTTTGTATTAGAGAAAAGAAGGAAAGAAAAGAAGCCGGCACCAAACGGGATTGTTTGGTGCCCTTTTAACTTTGTATGTTTATGCGCTGTACACATTCTAACTCAGCCCCGAGTTTCTCTCAATGCCGAACAATAACAGAATTTTATCAGATGTGACATATTTTCTCGAGTGATTTGATAAGGACAACGACGCGTTAAGCGAAACACGGGGCATCTTATCGCTTGTAGTAAATGAAATTTAAACAAACAGTGTAAAGCAAAAAAAAAAGAACCGTGTGATTGTATATAAATATTCTAGGGAAATGAAATGAAATGAAATCGACTTTATAAAGTAGCGGCATTTTATGAATGCTAGGGCTTGTATGTTGTACACTATGTGTGTATCTTCATAAATTATTAAATAAATATGTTTTGTACAGTATCAGTCTAATTAATACTCTAAACAATTTGTACATGATCGTATATGACTGAACAAGCTGAAAGTTTAAAAGCCATTTCATTCAATTTTTTCATTATTCGTAACTACTGAAAACAAAATAGCGTTCGAATTACTTAATGGTACGTAATTGCAAAATTGCCATTATAAAATGGAAATATTAATCAAATGAATAAAATAATTCAAAATTATGTGATTAAATATCATTAAATGAAGAAAAAAGTGAATACCATGAAATAAATACTTGACAAATTATAATATTATCAAAAAAGTATTGAAAAAAATTGCACAAAAGTATAAACAACTCAATTCTATGTAGAATTAGTATTTGAATTTAAGGACTTACATTAATTATCTTAATAAATAAGTAGAGAGGGACAGCAGCGTGGCGGGCACTTTCGCACCAAATTCAACTAGTTACGGTTTAAAACTAACCAAACTGACTGACTAAGTACATGCGCAGACGTCGAGCAGGTTGAAACATGTATGCGCATGCGTAAACGTCGAAACGACGACGCATGCGCAAAACATTCCAAAGTAGTTGCAAGTAGTTGTGGTCAATGCGCGTTAAGCAGGGACTGTTGCTGTTCGGCAGCACGACGAAGTGAATAATTTTTCAATGAATTTAAGTTTATGTTTCGGTGATTTCTTGTGTATAAGTTTGAAGTGCAGTTTCACAATTAAATGAGCTTGCAAGACAGTCTTTTCTCCGAAGACGTGGAGCACGACGTAACTCTATTTTCAAGGGACAAGAGACGGAAAAGGTAGGAGCCAAACGATCACGTTTCCTGATGCAACGACGCGCCTTTAAAGGTTAGATCAGTAGTTTTTTACTACTTGTCTTCGATCATTATTCTTCACTTTCGATTTCTACCAGTGTTTACTACGGTGAATCGCATAGCTTTCTCCAAAAAGTCATTGATCTTACCGCTTCGAAAATATAATACGTAGATATGTGACGTCTGTCATTTTTATGAAAAAAAAGAAAAACGAAAATGATACACATAACAAGTAGCGTTGGCTTAAAAAATCGCAATTTATCATATCGATTTATCAGGTATTACGTGGCACGATTGAGTTACGTTCAGTTTATCCGCATCCTTGACATGCAATTGTATCGTAATTCGAAGACAATTAAAGCGAACCCTTAAGATCTTGAAGAAGATTTATAATGACACCGTGCAACCTTTAAATTACAAAATTCTTTTACGGTCTCCGTGTATATAAATATCTCGTGGCAAAGGTAAATGGCTGATATCGTTCTCCAGTCTTCGTAGCCGCTGCTACGTACATCTTTAGATAGTGCCGTTACGTTAGTAAATTCCACATATATTTTTTTTTTATTTGCATAGCCCGCGTACTTCGAACGTCGACACGTTTTTCCCAAACCTATCTATTTTTACCAAACTGCATAGCGTTTTGAGGAATATAAAAAAACCGCGAATAATTGGCATCTTGCCGAATGAAAATAAAGAAGCGTCTCACGAGTCGGTGGGTTTTATTTTATTATTCAACCATTGCATCGATCTTTAATTGCGGTTATCTTTCGTCTTTGCACTTTGTACGAGTAAATAAAAGACGACAGGTTTTGAAACCGCGGATATTGGTTAAGTAGCTCTTCATAAGCTACGGAAATTGTATCCGTCGTTAGATAATGAAGGAAAATTTATACGAAACGCAAAGTTTAATGAAACGCATTATCTTCATTAATGACGACGAAAATAATGAATTGCGCTCTGTTTGAGGTTAACTACCAATGAAAATATTACATAAGGACATCGCAATATTTGTAATACCATTAATGTTATTAATATTATTTTTATTCGTTTCATTCACCTAACAAATATTCACGACCCTCGTTCCGTAACGAAGCTGATTAGCCGGATAGAGAAAAAAAGATTTTTGAAATCGAAGATCGAAGCGTGCGGAATGTTGCATAACTATCGAAATGACGGGTGAAAAAAAGAAGCCGGCAATTTTGAATAGCCTATGGCCAACGACATGGATAATTGTCAATCTACCGAGTGCAAGAGCTCGCTTAGCGTATGACGCTCACGTATACGCGCGATTACGTGAACCACGCAACGCTTACGAGATTCATCAGTCTGTTTCTTCTTTGTAGTTCAAGGCTTGTCGATTTACTCGTGGCGGTAAACGTAATTAGAAGATAGAACTTTTAGAACGAGTCAGAGAAAAACAGGATTACACGGTTGTTTTCTTCGACGATTTCATTTCTTTTCGTTCATGAAAGCACACGTAGCCGCGTGATTTTACCGCGCGCAACACGCTTCGTTCCACTTGAACGGGTCGACGTGTAATTTAACAATCCGTAAAGGTGAAAACCTATCTCGCTTTCGTTACGCTCCTTGGATCGTTTATATACGATTGCAAACACCCTACTGTATCGGCTGTATCGACTTCCAAACACACTTCCTGTTCCTCCTCTTATTACGATATCATCTGTATACTTTCTAAAAGCATGCATGCCTCTGGTTACGTCCTATGTACATGTATACATGTATTTAATAAATTAAATGCGTTTTGCGCCGAGCCGGTCGAACATAATAGCCGGTTTCCAAAGCTCGAACAGCGGTTACACGGTGAAACGTTATAGCAAGGTCGTAAGACGGTAACGGTATGCGATAGGGTTACGGGTGCAAGGATGACTCTAATTTAAGGAAAGCAACGAAGGAGAAAGTGAACGTTATGTAAAAGTTAAGTCGGCGTCGCGCGGCGTTCATGGTGTTCATCTGACGGTATACGGTCGAGTGGCCCGGGCCCGGGGCAAGGCGGTTACGTTCACCGTCAGCCGTCTTCAGTACGGTCTCGCTTTCAGCCACGATCGTAACGCGTTTTCTTTTCACTTTTACAGAGTACTCGTCTTTCCACCTGTAAACAACTATCGGAGGTACATCATACACCAACTGGTGCAAGATCGGTTCATCGATCTGCACACCTTCTCCATCGGTCAGGGTTCGGCGAGAAGAACCGTCGTTTGTTACAAGAGTGACGTGATAAGGTATCAATGCGTTGCGTTTCTGTGATTTAACCCTTTCACACCGGACGGGACATACGATGTCCCATCAATGAAGCTTGTAACATCATTGTTGTTTATGCGTCTCTAAGACTTTCAGGCAGAAAAGTTATTTCATCGTAATAATCACCTGGAGGAGAAATAACTGTTCCAGGTAATGGGGCGCATTCGAACTGATTTTTTTTCGTCGTATTGAAAGGGTTAACCCATTTCTTCCCAGTGCACACAACACGAAGTTATTATACAAAACTCATCGTGCATGTGTTAAAAGGCATTCACAAGCTCTCTGTCTATATGTGTTTATATTTCACAATTGGAAAAAAATTAATTACTGAAAACATATGCAACACAGAGTGTTTCTCAAAATTTCATGAGTGATGCCATTAACTTTGGTCAGTTTTTTCATATAACAATGTTGTACATTTTGAGCAAATAAAAGCGTGTGATCGAAAAAATAAAATTTTTTTATTTTTCTACCAGAAAGCTCCCAACGTTACGTCAGCGCAACATTGTGTGTGGTGCAAATGACGACACATACTGCTAGTGTTTAATATTTATAATGTTGTTTCGATTATTTTAAAGTAAAATTGATGACAAAATACCATATTTTTTCAGAATTTTTATTTTTGGGAAGAAATGGGTTAAACGAATTCGATGCGTACAATTTATCGATCTTCCTCCGATCGATAATCTGCCGATTGAAAATCTGACAAATGCGTGTTGATCGTGACATGTGATCGGTGCCTTTTGCGTAAATTCATTTCGTTTGTTAATATAATCGTAAAAGATAACAGTTGTCAGTACTTTTTAGCGATATTTTTGAAACTATTAAAACGACTACGCCCATTTGTTATTACCTGTAATGTAGAATATAAATATTTTGTGCTAAAAAAACACTTGTAAGTTGTCGACGTAATACAAATGTTTTTGCGCGTAAATGTAACTCAAAGTTTGTTAATGAATAATTAACTGTTACGAAAGTAGGGCGTGCTATCAATTGGATCAGATTCATGCGAAATTAGCAGACAGGTCTAACACGATTACGAAATGAGTTTACAAGACTGGAATTCTTACTACGACGCGACGTGTAGCGGAGGCAAACGAAAGTGAAACTGACCAACTCAAGGTCGTCGCATCGTGCTGGCCGAATGTATCGGAGAACTGTTTGTTTAACTTAAAAAGAAAAAATAACGTTCGAATAACATTGTAATCTATAATTGTTTCATTTTCACGTTTAAGGGATCCGAAACTGAATGGTGTGCAGCATAAGCCGAACTGCGCCACGAAGGATAGCGACAAGCTACTCGAGATGGGCGTCGAAGGACGCCGATCGCCGTCCGCATCGCCAGAACGTGTGCGAGTTCAAAGACAAGGTGAGTGACGAAAATTTTCGAAACTCCTTATAATTAACAGCGTGACCTGAATGTTATCGAATTGTAATTCGTTTTAGCCAAGTCAACGCCAACGGTTGAAATCTATAGACCACCAGCTGCAAGAAGAGCCAGAAACGAGCCTCAAGGAAACGTGGACCAAGTTCAAGCGCAGCCTACCGATTCGTCGTCTATAAAGTAATAGATTAGGCGAATTAGATTGTGATATTGTACTTGTAAATGTTTCTTAAGAGAATCATATTAATAGATCTGTCATTTTAAATAGAACTATTCGTAAGAGAAGACCGGATCGCGCTGTTTATGTACCAAGACATCGTAGAAGTTTAGAAACCGAAGGAAGCCCCCAATCTGTAGAAGCCGTTCACGTTAATCGTACTGTTAAAGACGGTTCGTCTTCATCCTCTCTGTCTCATGGACAATCAAAGTTTAACGTAAATCTAAAAGAAACGGATGCTGATGTTCAGCAAAGCGGAGAATGTACGGAAAAGGGATCAAACATGTGTTCTGGTGAGGATCAAAGTAACTTGGAGCGCGAAGACAGTCAGTGTCTTCGGGGAGATTCAAAGGATACAGTGTCTACAACTGTGCCGGAGGAATCTACTGTAGAATCTAATGTTAGAGAGAAAAATAAACAATCGGATAGCTTAAATGACGACGTGCCAAAGGAGACAAATAATTTTAGTATCAATGATGTAAAATGCGAGATAACGAATGCATTTTTGTCGCAGACGATCGAAGAACAAGAAGTATCTAATAATTCTAGCGAAAATAAGGGTAGTTTAAATTCGTTTGAAACATGTGTATATAGCGAAGAAGTTAATATTAACGAGGAAGTAGACAGATCTGATGAATATAAGGATAATATTAACACAACTGATCCAGCGACGAATAATAACATGAATAATACGAAGCTTTCGAATAAAGATGAGATAACGAATCAAAAGAATGCGCAAATGATACACAGTAACATTGTTTCGGAGGTATTGATCATTTCAAATGCTGTACAGAAAGAACCGCAAACTGTTAAAGAATCAACTCCTGTTCCTATCACGCCACCGGAATCGAAAAAGGTGAAAAAAGTTGTAAGACACAAAAGTAAACCGGCACCGCCACCGTCTCCGCCCGTTAAAAAAATAAATAGGGACGAATGTGACTGGGATAGTTTATTCGATGACAATGGTGACTGTCTGGATCCAACGCTCATAGAAGAGGTAAGTGCAGTAAAATCTCTCTAGTTGTGTCCGTAAGCTGAGAAGCGAAAATGGACAATGTGGACAGGATAGACACGATTTTTCTAGCCTCGCGGTTGCTTTTGATCTCCTGCGACAGGCCTGTCCAAGTAGGGGAATCTACTCCTGGATCACATGCTTTGGATCCTCTTCCAACGCTGCTCCTTCAAATAAGATGGGACGGTTCTGACTACCATCTCTCCGAGGAGACAGTACCGCCGCTAGGAAAGACGGAGAGACGGTAGTCGGAACCGTCCCATCTTACTTGAAGGAGCAGCGTTGGAAGGAGACCCGAAACATGTGTTCCAGGAGTGGATTCCCTTACTTGGACAGGCCTGTCCTGCGACAAGTCATAAATGAGAAGGATAGCACGAGTGCCGTAGCAGCCGAGAAATTAACAACAGTTTAACTTTCTTATTTTTAGAATTTTCTGGATTCAAATTGTTTTAACATATTGGTACAATTTTTCTGATTAAAATGAGACCAAACATGACCATTTGGACTATATGGACAAAAAAAAATTCGCATTGGGGATGTTCCCTTGTACATAAAATTAAGTAAACGTGCTCCAAAGTGTATCGTGTTTGATCTCATTTTAATCAGCAGGTAATCCGTAGGTAAAGAAAATTAATATTAAAAAAGTTACAGTGCTTTATTATAAACTACCAAACTCTAACTCTCATCAAAAAAGCCGCGTCGCGTATTGCCTGACTGACTGGAACGAATAGAACATAGGGCGTCGGGTGAGAAATACATATGTAGGCGTAGGACAAAACCGACGGACACTGTCAGCAGGGCAACAAACGGACAACTAGAGAGATTTTACTGTATTCATACGATTACTGTTCCTCGATCTAACAATTAAAAATTGTAATATCGCTTTCAGTTAACGTCTGCAGTTGGTGATGTTGTGATCGAGCAACCAAAAAGCGATTACAAGACATACACTAAACACATCGAAGTATCTAGCGACGAATTTGCTCATGTTGTTGAAATATATAATTTTCCGTCTGAATTCAAGACAAGCGATTTAGCGGCTGTTTTCAGTCCCTTCAAAAATGGTGGTTTCGAATTGAAATGGGTGGACGATACGCATTGTCTTGGAGTATTCAGTAGTCCTCTTGTTGGTAATTAAAAAAACAAACTGGCATGGTTTGAATTGTTGCTATGGACGGATAGTTATGTTTGATTAATTTTTAGCTGCCGAGGTATTGGCATCCGATCATCCGTTTGTTAAAACAAGACCGCTAAGCGAGGCAACGGCCTTGAGTAAAACAAAAGCGAAAAGGAGCGCAGAATTCTTGCAACCTTACAGGAGTCGTCCAGAAACTTGCGCGGCATTAGCCAGACGATTGGTTACAGGTGCTTTAGGAGTGAAATTAGCCACTGCTAGGCAAGAGCGCGAACACGAAAAAAACATACTGCGTGAAGCGAAAGGTAAATATCATTTAATTTATATGGAAATATGGGTAAAACTTTACTTTAGGGGACACCAAATTTTTTTGGGTATGGCTTCCATCACTAACTGTATTTAACACTAAACGTACCATGGACCGGTCAAATAACCGGTTGTAAACTTTTGATTGGAAAATTCACATAAAATGTTATCGCTTTTTCATTACATTTGACTTCATGACTTTTTCTATTAAATATATACAATTAATTTTACATCATTTATTTATATTTTTATTTGTTAAATTCGATAAACACGTGTAACCTAGCGTCATTTAACGCGACAGGTCATTTGACCGGTTGCAGTACAAATAGGTATTTATTAAATTACTCATAAAATTGATACAGTAGAAGCAATAAGCATGGGCTGTACCCTCCCTCTCTAACAAAGATAAATATAAACCTAACTAACTCGGACAGTATCAAATTTACGGTTTGACTAAACCCGCTAAAGTGGTCGGCACCTGCTGCCTGCTACTAGCGACACTGTTCATTGGACAAGAAGCCAATATGGCGTCACAGTAACGTAGCAAATGCGCTAAAAATGTCAAACTTTACACGCTCATAACTTTTTAACCACTGGATTCCTAAAGTTAAGACTTACATTTTTGGATTCTACACATCAAAAACTATATATTAAAAGAAAACGTCCAAAATTATGGGTCCGCTAAAGTAAAGTTCAGCCGAAATACGTGTTAAGCGATGAAAAAGTAAAAAGAACATGGTTCTTTGGATTGTTTCAGAAAAACGTAGGTTGGCCAATAAGCAACGAGAGGATGCTTGGGAAGGTATAATTCCCGAAAAGTAGCATCGTTTGTTGGTAATGTGATAATTGATAATGACTTACATTATATGTAAGTGTTTGATGACATTTACATGCATTTTGTGCCTTACTCATCTATTTTTTATCTCAGACAAACTCATTTTGTCGAACTGATTTGGCGATTGGTTTTGGGAACACGGGATAACTTGCCAATAGATGAGTGTGGCATGACGGAATACCGTAACGGATGTTGTATTTGCTTCGAACTGACAAATGAGTTTCCAATGCTTGTTTATTTTCTACACACACACACCACACACACACATACACATATATACATATATGCATATCATAATGTTCAGACCAGTTAAACGAGCGTGCCTGTTGCATTATTTTTTAATGAAAGGGTATTAAGTATTTTAAGTAAAACTCTTTAGACTTGGGCAATTTACAGCCCTAAATATTAGAAAAATCTATGAAACAGAAGTAGAAAGGTTTTACGATGCGTGGTTATTCTTACCTCGACAGTTGCCTCTGTTAGAAATTTATATATATGACGATAAAGAATGCTGTGTTGTGCAATGATAATACGAGACAATAAGTTAGAATAGTAGAAAATGAAGATGTATCCCTTTACACGTGAATGCATTAAGTGCGAGCACATACATCGATTTGCAAGCAGTGATATGTAATAAAAAAGTGTCTTCACAAAGTTATGATTTCTCGATGATAAAGCTATACTAAAATACAATGTGGTATTATATTGCTGTATAAAACAAAATACAGCATATATAAATAATATCACTTGTATAGATATATATATACACATACGTATATAAATCTGTTAAATGTTAAAATCTGACGCACAATCATAATCTGTCTACACATATTACAGACATATTTAAAGAAAAACAGAAAGCTTAAAACAGATTGTATTTTTATATACAATTGTTACCAACAGAGGAATAAAAGTATGTAGCGCCAAATCCTAGTCAATGTACACAAGAAAACATGTTACCTATATTGTATATTATATTACTGAATTTTGTCAGAAGTTGACAAATGAATTTAAAAGAAAAAAATGATGAAGAATAAAAAATATTTTATGTACCATATTTTCTTCATATATTTTTACTTATTCTTAGAATCCAGATATATCTTAGCTTACTAACAAATTCAGAAACTTAAAGTTTATGTTTAATTGAACAAACTGATGTATATTATGTTTCTTTTAAAATGGCAGTATCATGTACAGTACATATGTACAATGGTAAAAAGTGTATTTATGTATAACTAGAAAAGTTACTCGATTCATTAGACTTGATATCCCTCGGTTATCGATTGACGTAGCACTATTAACTATGCTGTATATTTCGTACATGATAATTCAACCAAATTCAACGTGACGATAAACATTTGTCATTACCATTTTCCTCCCTTCTTTTTCTTTTTCTGTTGAACTTTCCGTTGTTGTTGTCGCGGTCCAGAAGTTTCAACCGCCGGGCTGTGTCGTGGGTTAGGAGAAGGTTTAGTATTCGTAGGCATTTTAGTAATGTCACTGTAAAAGATACAAATTAGTATAACAATTATTAATTATTAAATAACCTACATGCATAAATTTTGAATAATGCATACTAAAGATCGCTGGCTCCTGCAGCAGCGCCTTGGGTGCCCTTCATAGCGGCATCGCGGTTTCTTCTATCCCGTTTCTTTCGGAATCCACTACGTTCGTGCCTGGGTAACCATCGTTCAGGATCAGGTGGAATATTTGGATCGTAGTTCTTAGGCAATTTTCCTTTACGTTTGCGTTTTTTACGTTTCTTTTGGGTTATATCAACAGCAGGTTTGCTACACAACATATTAATTATTAGTCATAGAGTTATTTACAGAACGAGTGAAAGTTTTAATAGACGATTTGAAGGAAGAGTAAACTTACCCAGGAGATGGTTCTATTTTTTTCTTAATCACTTTGGTACCGATTATCCAATTACTACTCTCCAAAGCATCGACATCGGTTCTTTCAGAGAGGTCGTGAAGAGGTGGTAAGCGCTTAGATAGGAGCTGTGCTTTCTCAGGACAGAACTGCACGTACGCTACTACTAATTGTGCTAATGTTTTAGTATCAGAAGGCGATGCATCTACCATTTCTTGTAAAATATCAGCTGCCACTTTAACTTCCCCTGCACGCAGGTAGAAATCGGCGGCTTGCCGCCACAACTCTCCCAAATTAGCAGTAGTTTCCTAATGGTAATTATTGAATAGAAGGTAGGAAAATTAGAAAAAACAACTAGGTAAAAGTAGAGCGAGATTCGCTCTAAAACCAACCCTTGGAACTAAACTAAAACTTTTCATCAACTTATTTTGAAGTGGCAAAAAAAAAAAATTTTCGGCCATTAGTTGAGATTTTGACCTATTAAACACAATGGCGTAAGAATTTTTTCAATAACTCTTACCGTTTGGCCTGTACAAAAGTGACAAAAAGTCTAAATGCTTTAGCCCCCTTCTCAAGATTTTCAATCTTAGATACGGGTTGGCTAAAAAGCGGTAAAAGATAAATATACTTACTTTATTCTTTTTGTAATAATTTACTGCATTCTTCAAGGCGGTTGATGCTTTTTCACGATTATTGTTAGCCATATGCAAAGTTACAAGAGCACTGACTACACCAGGTAACGATCTATCTCTCTCATTCAAATTTTCTAGAATATTAATTGCTTCTTCTCTTTCATCTTGACTTAACAAAAGTTGCACACAAACCAGTTTCATTTGTAACTCTTTTTCTCCAACAGCATATGGTGTTAATAATTTTACTGCTTCCTTTGCTTTACCCTCTTTAGCAAGTTGTACTGCCTTTACGAACATTGCATCTGCAGCTAATGCAGGATAATCCTTAGCAAGTTTATTGCAAAGTTGTTGACATTGCTCAGCCTGTGTATAGATAAAAAGATGCATACTGTAAAATATGGACTGTAACGATGAAATATACTACTAACTAGATCCATACCTGATCAGTATACAAAGCTAATAAACACTGGTTATATGCAATAGTTCTTCTTTGTCCGGAAGTTAACTTATGTTCTAGGCTCTCATGAGTAGCACTCTTCATTCTTTTCTTACTATCAAATACATTCTGATCTTTATTGAGGCACACAAGGTTATTGCTTGCAACTGCTACTAAAGCTATATCATCTGGTTTTGCTTTTAAAGCAGAAGTGTATAATGCTTGAGCTTCTTTTTCACGGCCTTGGAGTTGTAGACAGCATCCAAGCTGAACTCTAATAATTCCTAGTTCATCTTCTATTTCTTCCTCTGCAACTCCATCTTCTTCCAAACCTTCTTTGCACATTTTCTCTGCTACTCTAAGCTTTTTCTCTGCCTCAATTAAAATGCTTTTATCTCCTCTATTGCCTTGTGCAATTAAACGGCATGCTGCATTATATGTTAATTCATATGTATCTTCGCGTAGCACAGGAACTTCTAAATCCTATTAAAATGATACGTCAAAAGTAATTATTAGATTAGATTACAATAATTCTAATTATTAAAAACTTACGGAACCCTCAATTGCTAGATTTACAATAACTGCTGCAAGATTTGCTTCTCTTTCATCCTCATATTCGTCGTGGGAATTCTTTATGATATCTCTATATACAGAAAAACATTCCTCATACTTCTCAAGACGATACAGTATTTGAGCTTTGAGTTCTTTAAGCTTTAAAGAAGGATTTGAGACATTTTCTACCACCTTCAAAGCTTCTGGTACTTGATTCAACCGGTATAAACAATATGCTTTCTCAAAATCCAAGTTACTAAAACAGAAAATTAATTTCCTTAGAAAATATGACTTAAAAGTACATCTATGTGCATTATGGAATAATTATCATACCCTGCTAGTTTGGGATTTTTAGTAATAAACTGAAGAGCATCATTAAATTTGGACAACTGAATGTAGCAAATAATTTTACAGTGAAATGCAGCTTCCTCATCTTGAGAAATACCTAAAACTAAAACATTTGTTTTTAAACACATGCTGTTTTTAAAAGAAACAGAGTACAGGTTATGCTCATAATAAATATACAGGTACCAGTGCAATTGGTAGCTTTGGAAAAACTTACTTCGATTTGCAACTTTTATAGCTCTCTCGTACTCTCCGTTCTGACCTAATTTATTTAATTCCGAGTAAAGAGCAGGAAGGTTACTTTCTTTCGCGGCCATGTTGCCGAGATTGCGACCGTGTCCAACGTGGAACGTGGAACCAGGAGGAGCAAGGTACTGGATTGACCACTAATGAAAATATTACAAGTGTTTAATTGATACAGTAGTAAAAGAAACCTTCATCTTATTATCAAGTAATTACGTAATAAACTAAAAGTACTGTGCACGCCTTATTTTTATATGTTTTTTTAATTTTATACCAATGCGCGCTTTCAAAAAGATATGTTTAGCGCCACTTGACAGTAGACAGCGAGAATTGCTTTTTTTTATAAAATAAATAACTTTTGCGCTTTATTGTGTAAATTGATCATTCACTATTGTAATATAAATCAAATAATTGCATTATAGTTCACTAAAAGGGTTAAATTCGGAAATTAAAAATGTTTTTTGTTATTTTCGAGATTCTCCGCCAAATGAGTTTAGTGGTTCAATTTTGAAAGACCGTGAATAAAAATTTACATATTTAACAATGCGAATTGTTTATTTATTAAATTTCATTTGTAGATACATTTTTCTGATTAATTAACACATCTATTCCATATATTATTGATGTCAAGATCTAATTTCATTCTTTGCTAACGACGGTTTTTACGATGCATTTCATAAAGTTAGCTGCTTTTTCGCAATCATCTTTTCCACCTGAAACATTATTTAATTGAATTAAATTTCGTTATTAAAAATTGGGATTAAAATTGAGAATATTTACATGTATTGGTGCATCTCTGAATAGTCGCCTCGACTTCGTCTTTTGGCATATCCTTTGGTGCTTTTTGTCTGATAACTTCTTCATTCCATTTTCCATTTTCGTTCATCTGTAACAAGATTACAAAATTTGAATCCTGAATTCGAAGTCTACGCGTGCAAATATTAAATACAAGGTGTTTCCGACTTATTAGTGGTATAACTGAACAGGAGATGATAAAGTAGAAAATTTTAGTTCTTCTCTTCAACACAGATAGCGCTATTTCATACAGCGCAGCAGTACGGAAAATATAAATTTTTTAATTTTTGCAGAAAATAACAATGGAATCACAGTTCAAAATCTTACAACATTCATTTTTTTCAGGAGACAGGCTGTAAAACATCTAAGTCTGTCTTCGGGTCCTTGACCCTCGCCAAGCAAAGCTAGCTGCAGTTCTCCTAAAATTTAAACATCAACTTATTTTACGTTCCTGCTGTATTTTTATCACTTATTTTACTTTTAACATACCGATGGTAGTCCCAAGCTCTTGTGAGCAACTTGCACTAAATTTTTTTATGTTTTCCTGATCTTCGCTGGACAGCCATGCCTGAAAAGTACAAACAAAATTGAGATACTATTAAATTTTGTAACAATTTAGAAACAGAGACGATTAGTATATAGAAATATAAGGATTGTGAAATTTACCCATGAACAGGTCAAATGTAAGTAAATAGTAAGAAGAATAACAATAGTCTTCATGGTTTCTCCGGATGAAATTGAAGAGAATTATTGAATACAGAAGGAATGCACAGCAGACTTTTATACGTGCACTATTTTAACAGCTCTTATATACATCACTGTTCAATTTTTGTTATCTCTGATATACATTTCCATCTTGGCATTAATGACTTATTGTTCTTCAGGTGAGATCGTTTTATTTCGTCTTCGAAAATTTACGATAATCTTTATAGTATGTTTATAAATTAAAAAGGAATATAATAGTATGCTTTTCGTTTTTCGAAATATCAATCTGAATATTTATATCTATTACCAGTTTTGTAAATATAAAATAATTAGTAGAATGTATTAGATCATAGCTTATCTCTTTTCATAAAAGGTGTTGATTGTAATACTAATTCTTTGTGAGATTCGTTGATGACATTGGTCAGATGAGCGATCTTATTATCGCTTCATACAATAGAGAGATTTATAATCTGGAACGAATTTATGGTCGTAAAAATGCAAGGACGATGGAAACGATACTTGCCAATTCAACTGGGGAACGACAAAATGAAACTTGACTGGCTAGAGGATGGAATACATCTGCTCCAGCTTATCGATTTGTTGGGTAAATAAATTTCTTAACTTTATAAATTTCTTAAGCAATGGAAGACACAACGATTCGCGTACCACTTGAGATTAAGAAATTATAAAACATTTCATAAGCTTTTGTCGAATACATAATATAAAATAAGTTTCTCAAAGATGTAATTTCTACTTTAGTACATTTTTCTTTCATATTTCTAAGCTTTTGAAATTCTGCAACTTTTCTTTACATGTAACTTTATCGCAACGTGTGTATAAATTAAAAAAAAAGAAAACAAATTAGGTATTGTCAACTATTTATTTCATAATTTATATTTACAAGTGTATCTGCCGATTGATGTGCGAATTATTATAAAATAGATTACAATTAGTAGTTAGATTGCTTCTTCTTTCTGGATGAATAAATTAGTTAAGTACGTTGAAGGATTTGTTGTCCACGAAACATTTCACCAAATTGGCTGCTTTTTTACAGTCAGTTGGTCCAGCTGGAAGAAGTATTAATTATTAGGTAATGTTACTTTTGAACAATGGCCACCTCATTCCAAATGTCACTTGAATAGTTTGAAAAGTTTAAGTAGCTTGAATAGTTAAAAAGAAGATTCTAAACTCCACAGAATATTACTTACTGGCGCTGTCTTTGCACTTGGTGATGACACTCTCAACCTGATCCTTGGGAACGTTGGCGGGAGCCCTTTGTCTGGCAACATCAAAGTTCACGGTACCGTCCTCACTCATCTATAATCAAAAGAAAAATATAATTTTCCGTTTCTCCAGGAACAATTTCATTTAAACGATTCTCTCACTTACGATGCCGATCTTCTTCAACATGCAAGAGGAGAAGCAGGCCAATTTATCGTCATTCTCAGCAAAGTTACCGGATTTCGCATTTTCTACCACCTCTGAAGAGAAAATAGTCTCGATTAATTCTGACAATACTACTTTTTTTTACATAAATTACTAACAGATGTTCTGACTGTTTTCCTTTTTATTTGCAGTGTGTCGTTAAATTCAACTTACGTGTGTCAACTCCGGTTTCGGTGATACAAGCAGTCTTGTATTGGGTCAGTTTGGCTTTTTGTTCCTCAGTGAGTGCCTGGAAAGTGTAATAATAAATAAGCGACAAATGAATAGGAACATAGCATAACAAATAAGGAAATACGGAAAGAAGTGTAGGTATCAAAGTAATATAAAAATATAACAGCAATAAAAATTCTTCTAACATAATTTTTTTACTCTTCGAATAGCAACGGAGGGAAACGAAAAATCGCAAAATTTTTTACCAAAGCACCGACGAGGCAGAAAGCAAAGATAACTGCGATAGTCTTCATGGTTTATTATTTATTTTTCGAGTTCGTTTTTTACGATATACAAGCGAAGTCTGATCGGATGTTCAAGAAGAACTGAATAACACATCGGATCTTTCACGAGCTTTTATAGTTGTAGATGCAATCACTGCTCGCAAGATGTTGATGGGGCGAGCCAAGGTTCCCTCCCTCCATCGGTCAACAAACGGTTGTCTATTTTTCGGGGAGGAGCGCACCGATATTTTGCCTCTGATGAGATATAATGTTCCTTGCTTACATAACTGTTCCAGGACGTACGTACTATGTTTATTTTCTTTTCATGGTTCACGTAAAAAAAAGTTCAGTAAAATAAATATTTCTTCTATCCTTTCTTTTACTTTGTTTTTTTCAATAATTTGTTAAATAATTTACTCTTGATATATAATATTTTAAAAGCACAAAGTTATTGAAAAGAGAATTTTCTGGTAATTTTATTTTTGTTAGTTACACAAAGAATATCTCGTTACAAGCTGAAAATTTTAACGGTAACAAAAGGATTAAGTAATTTTTAATGCTTTAGTTTAATTTGTTTTAACACCGTGTATTAACAAAATATTATATAATAAATTGTCTGCTTTTATTTGAACGTTTCAGAGGTCACTGGATATCAAAGATGATTGAGAGCAGAATCGTACGGGACTTTTCGTTTTTATTCCCGGAACGGTTCGCCCAAATCAATCGATCAAATTTTTTTCTTCTCATCAATCATAAAAAAAGCAAAGCTCTAAGCGATTGAAGAAACAATATATCATTCGAAAGGTTAGTTTTTTCTCTTGATACTATTATACCAGAAATGATTTGTATTATTCTTTGTCGAATGATCCGAACTGGTATTAAATAATTCATGAGTAACTAACGTATCCAGTATTATTTTCTTGCGGCGAGCAAGTTATCGAATTTCAATATTGGATCGAGCCGATCGCGCGTGATTTTTTGTGATCCTTTATTGTTCTCGAAGGTCATGGTGAAGTTTGTAACCGTATAGCTTTAGTCTGAACCTGACTGTGAAGAATCACCGCGACGATCTTGCGATGATCAGATGCGCGCTTTAATTAGCCTAACGTAAGGTGCACAAGTGTAAAACGCGGTTACGCAAGTAATTATTCGGTATAAACTTGACTGTTGATTAAAGTTTATAATTTTGAGTCGACAATAATTCTAAATATTATATTATAAAATTAATTCTTAGAATTTTTAATCCTTTGATAACCATGCGGGTCAGCAGTGATCAGCGTTATGGATTTATCTCATTTAATTTCAGAAAGTTACAAAGTAAACGATGAGACATTGGAATGTTAGATTAAAAAATTAATTCTTAATATTTTTATCACGGTAACGACTGAAGAATGTCACTAATAGCCCGATTATACAAATATATCTATTTGTACGGTGCGTTAAACTTGAATTAGAAACATTACGCTTATTGTTTTCTTCTTATTACCTAATACATAAGGAGAAAGTCTTATAATAAAATGTTTCTTCTATAAAAGAGACTTTGGCGTGAAAAATGAGGTGATAAGAAGTTCGAGAGATTTCTTGGGGGTCAGTTGCTGCTTAAATGATAACATAATAAACACGTATGCAAGTATCTCTGTTGGATTGAAAAAAAAGGAGTGACAACTATTTACCTCGCACGTTTCCATTGCAGACGAGTGATAAATTATAAAATTGAATCTATATATACATCTGAAATGTGGCATTTAAAACGCTAATTAATTTACACTCCACCGATATAGCGTTAACAGTTTGTCGTGTTGAAAATTGATTCAAGAAAATCATCATTTGAAAATTCTAAGAAAACATTACGAATTAGCAAGTAATGATTGCAATTATTTCATTTCAAATACCGTTCGTGTTATTTCCGACGCTCCATTACTCGTTCGAAACTATGAAAACACTGAATAATCAATAATCAAGTGTGATTATGTCATGTGGTTAATTAAAATTGCAACTAGCGCTGCATTTTAAACACAATCTATACAAGAATATTTATCTGGAAAAGATTTATATGAAAATCGTTTCTTGAAACATTTCAATATTTCTTTTCATTGAATGCAATGTTTGTTCGTCATACAAATTTGGAAATTTCTGTAATTTATAGGAAACTGAAGCACTTCTATTTTGTTTATAAAAAAGATATTGATAATGTGCATCAAATAGTTCATTTATAAATCAGTATATCATGTGTGTTATCGTTAATATAATTTTGATTTTGCAATGTCGTGAGAAACATTTTTAATTATTTTTTATAGAATTTTCAACAATGAAATTTAAAAAAAAAGGATGTTACCATCGGTGGAAAATAGTGCTGCCACCTGTAGGGACACATGAAATTATTTGATGCGTTAACCAGATGTACCAAGTGACATGCATACACCTACACATGGAAGAGGACTTTAGTCGTTGAATTACAGAATATTAAATTAGTTGTGTGTAGTATGAGAGTACAACTGTCACACTGTCTTAGAAAACATGGGAGATAAAGGTAAAAGAATATAATTTGACGATAGAATCATTTCCATCTCAGCCTGTCACTTTTAACGTGATTAAAATTCATCGCTCTGTACTTTTTGAATTAGCAACTTATTATCGATGATTTATGAATGAGCATCGGTAAATCCATCTGTACGATTAAAAGATCATTCTCGATTGTTCTTGTAATCGAAAATCATTCGCTTGAACACTTGATCCGATGCCGGTTCATGGTTAACGTATTAGGTTAGAATGCGCTCATAATTGGGTCATTTGAAAGCGCGCCATTTCGAATATGTCAACTATCGAATGACCTCTCATTGTTTATTCACTTCGAAGAATTCGATTTTTTAAAGTTTTCCCGCGTAAGCTTTGTGTACTATCAAGGTCGATACATGAAAGGTGTATCATAACCTTTTCGAAATTTACGACCTTGTTTAGTTATTAGCCGATATCTAATCAATGTTTAGAAACTCGTAATATTGTATAGATTGATACAATTATTCTAATGTTGAACATACATCAGTAAACATTAGAGATTATGTAACGAATAGAATACTAATTCGATGCAACCTTGTCTTTGAACATGTTTCCGTCCAGGTATAAACAGAAAACTTACGTGGTTACACTTGATCGATTTCTAAAACTCCCTGTAATCTTATCATGCTTAATCCATTAGTATCTAAAGTTACGTGTACATATTATCTGTCGATGCATTTTTTGGTCACTCATCTAATTAAATATAATACAATGTTGCATTAACATGTTACAACATCAAAACATTCAGCATTAATGTGTGTTATTGTAAATAAGTATGTTTACATCGCGTTACATTTAGATAAAAAGAGATCTCGGAAACGTCTGGGTATTTCGCGATATCAGTACTCCTAATCGTGAATTTACATAATATATACGAGATGCCCGATATAAATGTTTGTGTACTTCTTATTCTTTTCTTTTTTTTATTAATAATAAAAACTATGTTTAGAGCATCACGTACACTTTAGTGGGGGAAGCGGTCTCGGGAAAGACAACAATATTATGATACAACCACAACGACATGGACAAATAGATGCTCATCTTGGATTTTTACAACTTAATCACAGGTTCTTTGTTTTTCTTTTTATGTAACAAAATGTGTGTACAACCTCTTTGGAACACCTTGTAAATTAATTGCTAAGGAATTCAGTTAGTTCCATAAATAAAATGAATACATTATCATACCGATTTTGTTGTTTTTCTTTTCAGATACCACGTAGAATTCTCGATTCCTTGGAACCCATGTACACACAAAGGTGGACAGAATAATCCCCCAGCAATAACGACTGGACGTCATAATCCTAATAGTCATATCATTGATTTGAAACAGGAAAAAGATGGCCTAAAGTAAAACACATTGTTTTGCAAAAGCAGTTACATTTTTTTATTTTTTTTTTTTATAAATCTATTAAAAATATTAAACACTATTTTCATAGTTTGTACAGTTGGTAAAATAAGAATCTCAAAAAGCTCTTTTTTTCTGTAACAGGTTAAAAATAGAGCTGCTAGCATATAAGGAAAAAATTTTAAAGCAGGAAGTGCAGGTAATGTGTTGCAAGGAAGGAACCCCGTTGCAGATTCAGTTGAACGCCCGCGTTTTAGGAAAAGACAAGGGTACACCGCTGCTGAGGAATGGAATACACAACGTTGGAGTGGACAAAGCAAACATGGATGAGGTCTCGGAGTAGATCTCGTTGATAACAATATTGTTACTGGAATGTTTCTTTTCACAGGTGAGGAGTGGAAAATCAAGAACGATTTCGGATAAAACACAATAGCAGGGAATAAACGCAAATCACGAGAACGTTCCTTATTTCGAACTTAAATCGTGCGATTAGCCGGATTTTTGCAATGATTCGTGATCGTTGCAGTCAATTAGCAATGATTCGTGATCGTTGTTTTTAGTTATAAGAGATCGTATGTGCACCTGTTAATAGAAATAATCTTAACTTAAATGCACGATGTAACTTTCGAAATATGCAATGTTCAGTAAAATGCTGCTTTCGGCCTGATTTCACAGGCCTACAAGACAACTGCAAGACTCCGTATCTTCTCTCGCGTCGACGATCTTACAACGACGAACTCGACGTGAGAATTTAAGTGTTCTTTTAATCAGCCTTCTTAAAGGATCACATCGAGATATGTAATTAACAAGTAATCGCTAAATACCGCATTTGCCTACTGTTTCTTCTTAAACGAGAACGTATCACGCAATGCCTATATCAAAGTCTATTACATCTTTGAGCGTCTATCATTAATCTATCTGTAATAACGAAATTGTATTTTATGATCGTTTTACATCGAGTATAAACTTCTCACGAGAAAGATATCATTAATCAAAAGTGAACTTTACGATTGACGACGCTGTTTTCTAATCCTTTGCTGAACTGACACAACCTATTAAAATAAATAACTTCAACAATGTAAAATGTCCTGCGTTTCTTCCATTATTAACAATAATCTCTCATTAAACCTTATCACGTGTATTTTTGTTCAAAATTAATTGATGATTGAGTTTGGTCAACTAATTTTGAACAAGCTTAAAATTTCATTACACGTTGTACTAATGATGCAAAGTCATAAACGTTGTACTTACATGTCTCTTAGCTATTAACATTATTCAATTTTTGCGTTCACAGTCAATACATTTGAAAACATCACACAAATACATAGAAGAAATGAGCGTCAGCAACGAAAACTCGACCGTTTCATGGGTATACCTGTCGGTCCGTCAACGAATTCGCAGATGTTGAAACCAAGTCTGGCCAAAGGATGACAATTGCTTTTAGGATTACCCCATTTACCCTTGAAAGTCATCCAGCTAGGTAAGATGCTGTTATCCTCTTTCAGCAGCAATTCCATCTTCTTCCATGTTGGCCATGCGGTTCCAAAACCACTCTCATCGTAAAGACGCGGTAATCTGACGAACTTATGCTTCCCTGGCGCTGTCCAAAGCCCGTGAGATCCTCTCGCACTGAACAGTATCGGATGAGAACCACCAGCAGTGAATACTCTTTCAGGGAATATAGGCTTCTGGAAGATGCCTTTTCTCGTTTCTTGACTCTCATATACGAAAGTACCGCTTCGTAGGTCGTATCGGTAGAACGCTCCCGCATCGTGAGCGGACACGTACATCGCTGAAGGGTAACTAGCATCCTAGATTTAAAAAATGATTCCATGTCAAATCAGTACAGAGGCAAAAACATAATAACGATTGACTGGGAATTTACCTTAAAGTAAAGGCTCATGTGTTCCCAATCGCCCACGTGGTTCCCGTACTCCTTCAGCATTCCAAAGCACATACCGCCCACAGTTGGTATCGGCCAACTACCAAAAAATCCGAGATCCAGAACGCAAACTGCCTTTCCCTCGCTAAACGGATAGAACATCCAATAGGTCACGTGAAAGTGTAGCTTCCGGGACCTGTTCCCTTTTTTCTTATTCATCTCAAAATCCCCAGCTTTCTGCAAACAGTTCCACCTTTCAAATACACCTGTTATCGGATCCAATGTATACAGGGTGTCCCGTAACTCCTGTAACTCCCTGAAATGGGGGGGGGGGGGGATTGCTGGGATGATTCTAAACATTTTCCTTTAACAAAATGTCGTTTGAAGCTTCGTTTTTGAATTATTAACAAAAAAACACTGGCCAATCAGAGCGCGCCTTTAGCGCGGGCCGAACCACGAGAGCGTTGGCTTTCAGCCGCGCTCGGTCGTGATCGTGAACAAACGCATTCATTATTCATGAATAACGAATGGCCCCACCAAAATTGAGAACTCAGGTTTGGTATATGACCTAAATTGACTACAAGAAACCGATTAAAGTTGGTTTCAGAGCTGGAGGTTAGGTTCCGTGTATGCGCAGTATGCGAATAGCATATGTTCAGTATCGAATAGCGCATGCTCAGTGTCGAATAGAGCATGCTCAGTATCGAATAGCGAATACGTAGTCCCAAAATTGTACAAAAATTTCTTATCGATATCTCGAAAATTGTAAGACATCCAGTTCTGAAACGAATTTTAATCGGTTTCTGGTAAACAATTTAGGTTATATACCGAACCTGAGTTCTCAATTTTGGTGGGGACATTCGGAAACTTATCCTAACGAATAATTCCACATTGTTCTTAATTTAAGACGATATAACATTTATCGCACGCTTCGCTTGATACCGACGCTGTGCCAATGCGTTTGTTCACGACCACGACCAAGCGCGGCTGAAAGCCAACGCTCTCGTGGTTCGGTCCACGCTAAAGGCGCGCTATGATTGGCCAGTGTTTTTCGTTAATAACTCAAAAACGAAGCTTCAAACGACATTTAAGTAACGGAAAATGTTGTTCAGAATCACCCGAAGCATCCCCCCCTTTTCGGGAGTTACAGGAGTTACCGGACACCCTGTATGAATTATAAAAGGTTGGACTTACCTCTGCACCAGCTTTAGTAGCACCGTTCCAAATTGTACCTGGTACATCATTGGTAAGGATCATTGACGATCCAAAATCTGGATCAGTCTGAAGCGCATTTCTTGATACTATCGATGTTTCATCTTTTTTTTTACGCAACTTTCTTTCATCTCTGATGGTTTTTAGATTGATCACATTTATGGTAGTGTCCGAAGCGGCGCAATTCTTGATCACAGCATAAACTGGCACCGTGCCCGCTGGCTTTTTGCCGTACAAGAACGAGGATCGGTTCCTCAGCAGTATCTCTGCCAACGTAAATTAACGGATGAATTTGGATCGATTGAAGAAACAACTTTGATCATTTTTTCCTACCCGTCTTTTCAAAGGGTATTCCGTTCATCATTTACCTACGTCGATTCTGGTGCGAAGGTAATCGTCGTCCGACTGCATGTTGTCGAGAAACTCGGGTACCCCAAGGGGTAGAAACAGCTCACCAGGTGCAAGCCATACCAGAGGTGCCCAGTCTCGTACCAACTCCTTTACTGCAATTAAATAAATTAAAATTACATTTGTATTACACCTACAGTAACTAGAAGGAGGGGTAACATAACGTAACAGTTAATCAGAAAAACTCTACGAGGAAGTAATTTGTAGACATCATTTTCTTCGCTAGTAACGACACGAAAAAGTTTCCAACTACGCCTAAAAGTAATTACAGACAGACTAATTACCAGGAATACATAAAGGGTAAAAACAAGCTAAAGTGAACTAGAGCGAGATTCGCTCTAGAGCCAACTCTTTTTCGGTCATTTCCGGTCAGACCGGAAAAAATTTTTCTTTCGGCCATTAACCCCTTAACGCACAGTTTCTTTGAAAAAAACCAATTTTTTTTTCATGTAAATACAATGCCGCTCGAATTATGTCGAATGTGCACAGTTTGGCCTGTTTAGCGCGCTCGAATTTACTCGAGCATACAAGTTAAGGGGTTAAACACAATGGCGTAAAAATTTTTTCGATAACTCTTACCGTTTGACCTGTACAAAGTGACAGAAAGTCTAAATGCTAAAGTCCCCTTATCAAGATTTTCAATCTATGTTACGGATTGGCTAATAAACGATCAGGCGAGAGTCGCAGGTGTTCAATATCCTCCCAATTCGAGTAATAGTAATTTCGCTGTGATAAGAGAAAACACGTTTATGGTGTCATTATAGGTGAATTAAACCTGATTCGACGAAGCTAGAAAGTTCAACGCGTACGAAGTCGAAAGGATTGATTCGCATGGAACTATTTAAGTAGCGAGATCTTGCGGAGGAGAAACGCGGACAACTATACTGCCCCTTGTGAACCATAGTCAATGATGCAAATAATGTTATCGAGAATAACATAATATGTTTATTAGAAAGCCAGCTAGATCCTCGTTTCTGCGTGTCTCGCGTGTTATTCAGGTAGAAAAAACGAAAACCCTAGGGGGTTTCTGCTTTCATTGCATCGTCGAGTAGGAAGGATTATCAGGTGTACAAGTGTGTGCGACATCCCACATACTCCCACACGCGGCTGCAACTCGAACCTGGTTTAAACAGTTACACCATGTGTACCAGGCGACCTATAAGTCAGCAAAGGACTCAAAACCTCGTTATGTACTCAATGATCCTCGCTACAATCTGTAAATTCGCTTGAAACTCCGTCTCAGAGAGATAAGGATAATATCACATTTACGTACACCGCAAAAGTATTCGTCCACCGTTCAAAACAAAATACCTCGTTTAAAATTGGATCAAATGACTTTAGGTTTTTAGAGAAGCTACACAAATTAATTTACTAAGATATGTGCCTTTGTCGTTTTAAAAAATTACAATTTGTTGCAATCGTGAAAAAAAATAGTGAAGGGTAATTTTTCAACTTTTTTATGCGAGCCTATAACGAAAATTTAAAATATCTCTTTGGTAGATTCAAAAAAGTTCTGTTTATGGTGAAAATTTCATCGATATCGGTCGATGCACTTAGAAGTTATAAGTAATTAAAAGTCGCGATTTTTGGAAATTTTCAACATACACATAATATACTTAAATTTACAAATGTCATATTTAAAATTTTCGTTACAGGTTCAGATAAAAAAGTTAAAAAATTGTCTTTTACTATTTACTCCCCGATTTCGGCAAACTTTAATTTTTTAAAACGACAAAGGCACATATCTTAGTAAATTAATTTGTATAGCTTCTCGAGAAACCTGAAGTCATTTGGTCCAATTTTAAACGAGGTATTCTGTTTTAAACGGTGGACGGTAGGGTGTGTTATACAATGATGATTAAATACCTTCTAAGATCTTGAACATGATAAAGCAATGATAGATAATTACAGAGGAAATTTTTCGACACAAAATTACAAGTTCCTGCATTAAATGTTTTAAACGTTGCAACCAGGAAAAGCTTTCACCGTTCTCCTCCGCGTGTATAATACATGGTCCAATATTGAAACCATAATTATTATGTACAACCGATACAACGTTACCGTGTTTGGTGTTACGGCACGTTTCCCATCATACTTCCGCAATTAAAGAACAGGCGCCCACAAACGGGAACGGGTTTCTGGTTAATGCTTTAACAGAGAAACGTTATTTTGTCGTCGAGTTAATTATCTCACCGTTTAGCTTTAGTCTGCTACGGAAATAATTAATTGCTAGCAATCATTCAGAGGTGAGAATAAATGTCTACTCTTAAAAGAAATTTTTTTTTTATCCAACGTAACTAGATGAAAAGATAAAGAAACGCCAACGAGGTTCGTGCGAATTCATTCTGTAAGGAAGAAAGAAAAACGTCTGTAGATTAACTAGAAAGAAAATGTAGAAAAGCTAAAGGAAAAGAAGAAGAGCGACCAGAGGTGCTACTTGGTTAAACTAGAATTCGTTTAATTATCCTCTACACATGCGTGAAATACGAGCGAAATCGAAGATTAATGAAAACTTGTTTTGGCCTGCTTGACAATCGTGAAACCGGTCCAGAGAAATGGGACAATCGATTTTCAGCTTCGCAGCGATTCACGGTCGCGCGTGTCGTGTCTTTGCAAAATAGATCGGCTAATTTCAAAAGGAATACAAACGTTGTCTTACATTAAGACATTTGTGTTAATTATGCCGCAATGATTCATTGATGGCCATCGAATGAAATAATTTCACCGTTAATCCAATAGTTCTCGGCTTCGAGCGGTTACCATGACGATCGTGTCCCGATTCGAGACGCTATGGTGCTACTTTTACGATCTTGTCGTTGCCTTATAACGAATACCCCTCCGAATACAATTCATGATCGAAACAACCGTGGAATCCTTTATGCGCGCTAAAATTACAGCGATTCACTTGGAAGTACTGTAACCATGTAATTACGATTATCTGAATTACAGCATCAATGTGTACTCAAGGATATAGCAGCAGAACATGATTATTAAAGACTTATTTATTAATTTTATTAATTTTAATAAAATAGTACCAAGTTTAATCGTTTTTGCTTCAAGTTGTCGCATATTAATTGTTAGAAAGGAAGCAAAGAAGAAAATAGAATATTTCAAATGAATTTGAAATATTTATTGTTAGTAGTAAAAAAAAAATACCTATGCGGGAACCGTTATTAAGTTATCTGTGTTTCAGTCTCTTACCTCGTTCTTCCTCGATAGTTTCTGAAGTTGCGGTCATACAAATAATACACAAAATCATCAGCAAACACTGCATCGTATTCGGGTTGTTCGCACATTTTGACAATCGAGTGGCAGAAAGTCTGTGAAACTCAAAAATTTTTAAATGTCTGTCATTGTTGACACGTTTTATCCCACCACTTTTATATCCCTTATAAGTTGTCGCTACCGTTACTGACCGCTGGAGAACGCTGGAGAACACCAGAGAACTTTGAGGTTAACGATCAACAACACTGATCGTCCTGCTACCAGTTTGAGTGTTTCTCAGGTAACTGACCGATTCTTCGCATTTCCTCGTGCCGCTCACTGGACAAACATTACCTTCGCTTACAGCCATCGCGTATGGTGTTACGAGGATGCCAAAGAAAATTACGGACGTAACATATTAACCCTCGTATCAAATTGAAAGTTTCGACATGGTTGCGCGCTTTTTATTTGAAAATTATTATCTACGCGCGCATGCTCATTTCCTGCATACGTACTTCAAATGTTTGCGCGCTATTATTGTCAACAGAGTTTTTCAATCTTGCTGGTTTAAATTTAAGTATTTTAATTTACTTTAAAAACTTTTTAACCTTTATTGCACATCTGTTGATTAAAGAAAAAGTTTGTAATGCTTAGGTATTACACTTGACTTGATATTGAACAATACGAGAAGTAGAAAGCAATCACGATTTATGGTCACGGTTACGAAAGGGAGACAAAACAAGTGAACCGGAAACCACGCAAGCCATTTGCGATTAGTGAAATGGAAAGTGTACTACACGGGCAGATATATGGATTACATTGGTAAATACGTATATGTATATATATTGTATTTCTTATATTTTTATTTATGTATACAATCATTTTCTTTCCCTGCAATCATTAATTCGTTTCACACATTCTCTAACTGTTTTTCGTTTTTTAAACGTTAAACCTAAAACTTTACACTGTCAAGGTTAGAAGCACAAAGTGATAGAAATATTAATATTATTGAATTTCTAATAATACAGTAAAAGTGATTAATGGTCTTTAACTATTGTGTAATATATGGATGAGCTATGTCTATTAAAATACTTTAAATATAATTTCAATCACATGGTTTATTACTTAAAAGCATATTCTAATTTACACTTTTAAGAATGCGCTTTTTAATCTAGTGTTTATAAGCTATATCTCAGTATGTAACAATTTATTCATTTAAACATCACACTTTTCTCATTTTAATGGTGTTTATAATGACATTTGTTAACTTATACAGTAGGAATTGGAACCTTATTAAATAAAACAATTTATGAAGTATTTGAATGAGTCCTATAAATAATCTAAAGTACATATGAGTGGTATGAAATGTATCAATAGCTAAACTTATTTACAGAATGAAGTTACTACCAAACAATTAAATTGATGAATCAATACAAAACAACAAAAAAGAATGAAAGAACACTAAACTGAGAAATGTGTTTTAACTTTTATTTTTTCATGATTATTTTCAATTTAGTATATAAAAGAGAATGAAGTATTATTACTAATGAAATTTATATGTATATATCAACATTTTTTTTCACAGGGCTATAAATGTTATATTTCAATAGAAATGCTTCATATGATTTATATCAAAACCTTATGTGTATAAGAATATAACATTATTTAATGGATAATCTCCTAAGTAAAGTGCTTGTAGAATTACTTATATAATATTATTTGTAATATGCATTTCATAAAATGTTCATACTTTAAGTATACTTTTAAAGTAACTAACTCGCATGTTTTTGCTTTTGTACATACTTGTTATTTAAAATATTAAATAGTAATTTTAAACTATAGCATACAACATATTTGAAATTTCATAATTAAAAATATATCGCAGTAAATTTGCTAAATCACAGCATCTGGCATAACATGTATAACCCTGTAATATATACTATATTGAAAAGATAAGGCATGTAGTTTTATACAAATATGGTAGCTGTATAATAACTTTAGCGTTAATATAAGGGAGCACAAAATTCTTATGTTAAATATAGTACCCCTTTATAAGATAACACTTTCTTGCTTTGATTTGTCAGGTGTAAAAAATTATTTCGAAGTAGAATTCTTTGTCATAACAAATGGTTAAATAGTCCCTTTTGATTAGCAATATTGATAACAAAAAAATTTTGATGTGATGTTATCTTAGTTTCTAATGTACATTCTAAAACATTCAACGAGTACAAAAATCTTGTACTAATCATTATTTATTCATTATTGAATTTGGCAGTCCTATTCAAATGGACATCTGCAATTGGGACATGATTTCTGTAACATTTAGATGAAATTTGATGCAATGCAAAATTATTAAATAGAATAATCGCAAAGAAAATCTGCCATTTTAAGAAACGACTTTGTTCATAGAATTTACCTGATTAGATCTAGACTTCCATTCTTCGATACACTTTTTATGAAAAGCATGACTACATGTTTTTAGTACAATTTTTCTGCCATTTGTTAATGGATTTAAACATATTGTACAATCGTCAAAATCCCTTAAGCCACTAGAAGCCCGTCTCCTCTCATGATAATCACTGAGAACAGAGGTACAGTATTTTTTATTTAATTATAAGACTTAATCACATTCATATTTGTAACACCTACTCTGAGTAAGAACTGTAGTTATTTTCGTAATGATCGTTTGATCCTCTGTACCTAGATCCAGTATTATATGGAGGGTGTGTTTGTTCTTGTTCATTATTTCCAAACATATAATATAAAAGTGTAGCTAAGGTAACTCCGATTAATACACATGCTATACCCGGATATGCCATTTTTTTATTATCGTTACTTGAAATATTCATAAAAAACTGCACAAATCTAATGAACGCAATTCAAGTATCCTCATTCGCACAATCTACAAGACTAGTCCATTGATATAGCTTCAGTTTTTGATAGCAGTATGAAAAGAATTCAAGAACATTCGTAAAATCCCCGTACTATAAACAACGAGAAAAATAAAAAACGTCAAGCACAGCTAAACGATAATCCTCCCTTCTTCCACTTCTAAATACATAAAACAAAATACGATATATGGATTCGAGCACAATAGTGCATGCTTTGAAACAGGTTAGCCAACACAAAATTCTTAGTTCGGTAGAGAAATTGAAATTATAGTGAATTGTAAATTTCTTCTAAACTCCAGCTCTGATTCCAGTAATTTAGAACTGTGAATATAAATATTTACGTCTGAATAAATATTTTTTAATTTATCTTAAATGATATTAAAATTTTATGAATTATGTAATCAAAAGCTAAGTTACTGACAAGATTTTTCCCTAATAATCTCAGAGTAAATAAAAACTTACCCTGTTATTTATTTACATATATAGTTGCATTAAACTCATTAGAGTATTACTTTGTTATGTAACTCGTAATCTAACTTATAGGTGCGATGTGGGTATTAATAAAGATTTAATAATCTAACGTCGTAGTTGAAATTTTTATTTTTACACCAACTCGTATATATAAGTATTCGCTTACCAAAAATATCTCTGTGACACCATCAAAGTGATCTACATATTAAATAATTGTTACATAACAATAAGGTCACATACTTATAATACATTAATTTTTTTATTCTTTAACAGTTATAAAATGATACGTTTATTGCTATTTACATTATAATCCTTGTTTACTTTATAAAATGAAAACGTAACACGTAATTTCTGATAAATTTATGAGAAAAGTAGAATAGAAAATCCTCAACATAACGAGATATAACACAAAATAAATGAATATTATGTTATAACATATTTTCTAACTTAATGTTTTTAGAATATCAAAAATATTGTTTACGACGATTGCTTGTTAATGCTTTGTTTTATATCTGGCAATCCAAAGTCGTTGCGGAATGTGGGGGTGATAATGTAACAGGTGTCATCGAGGAAATCGAACGGTCGATGGATTGTAACGGAGGCGCCTGTTGTTTAATCAACATGTGTCGAAGACATTGGGCTTCCTCCCGAAGAGTTATTACTTGTGCCCTCAAGATAGCGTTCTCATGTTCCAGCATAGTTGCTCGTAATGCAATCTGCAATATACTTTGATTCAAGTTAATATGAAGCACGTACATTGGTTTTCATTTATAACATAATCATTAATTTAAAATTACTACGTAGTATGAAATTCAATGAGCAATTATGGAGACAGTTTTACTCACGTGGTCTTCTCGAATTTTACGAGCGTCGCGGGATTTCTTCGCAGCTTGATTATTTCGTTTACGTCTTTCATAATATTTCTCGTCTTTCTGATCATCGGGAATTGGTTTCTTTTCACTTCTGGGTCGTTTATGAACACTGGCAATAGCGTTCGCGCCCAAAAAGTGATGTGCTACCGCGTTACCTGCTTTATCGACAAGCATTTAATTAATCTAAAACTTATATTAATGTAACGTAGAATGCAAAGTACTTTTGACTGGAGAGAAAAAATGCAAAAACAATTTGCCCCGGGTGAGGATCGAACTCACGACCTTAAGATTATGAGACTTACGCGCTGCCTACTGCGCTACCGGGACCGTTGGCAACTCGTTTTTTAAATAAATTCTTCATAGTAAATTGCAAAAATTGATATGTATTTTAATATTATAAATTAAAAAATGAATAAAAAATTAACTTACTTGTATTGGCATTCGTAAATGGTTGCGGTACGCTTATAGATTGCATTAAAGGTGGTACTGTTGTTAAGAATGGGGGTTGAATCAGAGAACCCGAAAGTGAGAATGTAGCTGATAAGGACGAGGGTGTCAATGGCGATAATGTTCGGCCGATTCCTGTATCCGATGTATTAGAATTTGCTAAAATTTCCGGATTTCCAAAACCATAATCCTTGGAATTATATGGTTCGTATCTGCATAAATCTATAAATTGAGTACAATTATTAGGACTTGCATAATTAAAATCAGTCAATTTTAACAAATATTGCATGATTTTTCAAATTTATAGTGTATTGTGAATATTATTATCTGCAGGTAATGATTCATTTGTATGTTATAGTTGATAATAATAAATAAATTAACAGTATATAATTGTATTATACGGTAGTAGAATCGAATCGATGTTAAACATCCTGTTTACCAACCGCCCCTGTGGCCTAATGGATAAGGCATCGGTCTCCTAAACCGGGGATTGTGGGTTCGAGTCCCACCAGGGGTAAAACAAAAATTCTTTTTTTATAGTTTTTTCTATCTAATGAAACTCCAAATAAAATAAAAAACGTTACATAAAATTATTGAAGATATCAAATCAAGTGAAAAAGAGAAAAGTGTCTAAATTCATTTTTAAGCAATATTTCATAATCTGCCTAAGGATAATAGTTTCAGTAATATTACCTGAATTCATGCATTCGATCAATCGTAAAGATATTAAACAAGCAACATTGCGTGCTTCATTAAATCCTTGTCTCGCTCAGTCTGTTTTACAACAGCTAATCCTTATATGCATACGATTATTATAATGAATGCTACGATCTTATAAATATCTTTGCATCACTGCTAATGATAGTGTAACAAGAAAAATATATGGTAAAAAAAAACTATATGATCTGTATATTCTTCACACCTACCAAAAAAAAGGAAAATAATCATAATATAAGAATAAACTAAAGAAGAAAAGGATATATAATAAATGTGATTAGAAATAAAATTAAAAATGAAAAGAAAAAAAGAAAACCTCCGCCGTGACAATGTGTCATGGGCACATTGCCGTGACCAGGATTCGAACCTGGGTTACTACGGCCACAACGTAGGGTCCTAACCACTAGACGATCACGGCTATCGAAGGAGTTGAGAATAAAGCGGAAAGTGACCAAAGTCGAATTTCACATCGACCAACTTGTTCATTTATCCATAACAATAAGTAATCCCACGAGTTTTTTCACCGAATCGCGCACAAAATTCATAGTTAAGAACCGACTAGAATGTTTAATAGCATTGAATAGTCTTAATGCTATTATAATTATCAAGTAAATTTATCCAAAGTACCCGAAGTAGGCGTGAAAAGGCTGTAGCTTCTTAAAAGATGCAATGCAGAAAACGCGCTGGACACTGTACTTCCGCTGCAAATAGCTCTTGCATGCGTGTGAGAGCTCATTCCTCCTAAACAAATTGCTCAAAACTTCAAAACACCGACGGAATAATTCTTAAAGTACAGTCAAACCATCCTTCTTCCTTTCCAACGAAACAGCAGAGCCTGTCAAAGTTTTTGTTTAAATATCATCAGTCACCGAAATCCTCGTTTTCGTTATTTCTAAAAATGAATACAGACAAGTTTTACGATGCTTGTCTGTTCACCACAAATATTTTTACAGTTGCGACGACTCGTTTGATAATTCGACTATTCGATGCTGAACTTGTATGACGCGACTTCTTCTCGACCCTATTAACGTCTTGGGTCACGTGTTCTATTACCACATACCTTTCCACGGACAAATCCTCCAATTCGCCGTCGCAAGGGGTGGTTCCCGCCCTTCTGTACATGCGCACCGTTCAACGGAACGATTGTTCCGCCCCTGAATCGCAAAGGGTGAACAGGCGGCAAGGACTTTCAGTGGTCATGCAAGTCAAAAGCCAGGCTAACTGGCCAATCCCACGTTGTCAAACTCTTACACACAACAATAAAATGAAGAAGAATAACATTAACGTCGAAAATCGTTAAAGTGGTATTCTTCATGAAATATATTGAAATTCATTGTTCCTCCTCTTCAAGAGTCTTAGAGCAAGCTAAAGAGCTTTTGTTCCCTATAAAAAGAAAAAACCAGTATAAGTTGATGGAGTATTTAATATTATAAATAATATCAAATTAATGAATAAAGTTCAATTTTGAAGCTTTAACTAATTAAATATGAAAGTTTTTACTTTGGTTCTTCTTTGATATCCTCATATCCATTCGCCATTTTCAAAAAGTACAATCTACTCTCAACTTTCAACAAAGTTTCCTTACACTTTGTGACTATCTGTACTTGTATATTACTTACACAAGAACATTTCCACACGGTACCAGGCCACTGGACGGCTACGTGTTTCTAATGTTTCTGGGACAATCAGCAGCTGACACTTTCATGTTACTTACGAATGTTTAATGCGTCAGTAATTATTATGAAGTAAATTAGACGACGACGGCCAACATCGAGGGGGTTGCAACATTGATGAGGTCGAAACGGGGCTTCAAATTGTTTCTACTCTTCCTCATCAATGTTACAACCCCCTTTATACGATCGCGTGGAAATTATTGGTCATAAGATCGATTGCTTTCTGTGCGAGTTAAGTGTTTCTTCAACTAAGTATGAAAAACATTACTCGAATATCATTCGAGCAAATAAAATATTCCAAATCTTTTATAATATATTGTTTACAAGTTCTAGTAAAGTTGTAACAGAGATCCTTGTCGTAGAATTGTAACTCCTCGGAAGAAGATTGCAGGTGTTACGACGATTTATGGGATAGCGTGTCCTTTTCGTAGACGAAAAAAGGGGACGAGCAATTTGAGTTATATTACCTGTTCAAATTTAACTCAGGGGCGCATTCTGGGTTAAATAACGCCATTTGTTATCGTAATATCTAATTTAGCGTTGAAGGGTGATGCGCTTGTACCATGTGGCCGTGATCTCACGAGGTCGTAGTACAGGTGTCTTAGGAACAACAGTCTGTTTCCGTAAGTTCGCCAGGTGTAAGTGCGATTAAGAAACAGAATGAATCATTTTTTCCTTCGATGTTAATTCTTCATTTTAGAACTTTAATTCAACTATCAACCAAAATCCTCTACTTTTCATTTTATACAGCTATGAAAGAGACCTATAATATTAAGTTTATTTGTATTCTGCATATGTCGTCTGTTAAATCAAAATGTTCTTCCAAAGAAGCAGAAATGATGAACGAGCCCCTTCTGGCATTACGAATGTTATCCTCGTCGCTTTGTCGGCCGCTCGTTATCATTATGTGGCTGGATTTGCGATAGCGAACGCCCTCCGCAATGGTTCTTCCTTGCTTGGTCTCTCTGCTCGTGCGAACCCAAACACCTGTCCGCGACCAACGAGTAACGTGACATCACGTCATGTGACCTCCTGAGCCCCGGACTCACCCCGAAACCCCTTCAACCCCATAACGATGCGCGACCTCAGGCTAATCTGCCTAATCGCTGTCCTGGAAACGACGGATTACACACTCGGCCGATATCTTCGTGCCGCCATCAATTTTCGCCTACTGTGTTCTTCATTTTTAAAGCCCATTAGAAATCTCGATGATCCACGACGCACAGTGGTCCAGATCGAAGAATTCGTTTGCTAAAAGATCAATTTCCTCATATCGATGTTTATCGAATGTATTTAGCTTTTCAAATGTCCGCCACTTTCGAAAATGACGACAATAATGAAATTTATTCGCATTAACTGGCACAGTAGAAAAGGCCACGTCTAATCAGACATATGATCAGTTCATTTTCAAATGAAAATTTTTAGAACGGTACCTTACATTATTAGTATAATACTGAAACTGTTTAAAGTTTGCCTTCTCTTTTCTTTTACTACTTATTCAGTTGTAAAAAATGTAAGGTGTCGGTCACCGGTGACCACCATGGCAGTCAACGTATTGATTGTGATTAGAACAAGTGTTTAAAGATCATCGTTCCATAAACATCATTTTTTACAGAAAAAATTTATCTTTGCTCTTATTGAAGCAAAGTGTATTTAATATTTCTGTCCATTTTTTTTTTATAAAGGAAGGATATTTGTTTATAATGAGAATGCACCTTGAATTAGGACTTTTTATTTATAATTTACCAAAAAAAAAAATAATACTCAATGAACTAAAGAGAATCGTCAATTTTCCATAATTGACGCTATCTTTTGAGCTCCAAATAGTATCGCATACTTTTCCCTATATAATCATGCCAAAATCACATCCCACTTCGTCTCATAACGAAAATTATTGTTGTTTAAAGCGTAGCCGTCGCCGGAATTGCCTGATGTGTTAAAATGGCTACTATAAAGTTCTACATTAGATAATTAATATTAAATAATAGACTTTTGCAATAATACATTATAACTGTTTATAACAATTATTTTTGCTTTTGTTTATAAATAATATTTTTCATCTAGCTACAATGTAAAATGATTAATTCTATTATTTAAAAGATTATAGATTATTCTGTTCATTTCAAGGTTTAAACAGTTTTCCAGTTCTGGACCACTGTGCGACACGTTTCTTCCTGCAAGAAAGTATAGAAGAAGAAGCAATGTAAAGGAATATTTGCTAATCGTTACATACCTGATACGGAACGAAAGAAGAGATGAGGTGATATACTAAGAAACTTTAATCGCATCTTCTCCAATGAGCACAGTCGGCGGAATCGCGTCCTCGTGACGACTTGATGAGATAACTTCGCTCGAGTTGTGAAACAACGGGCGTCACGAATCGTGACTTCGTGCGAGGGCAAAAGGAAACCGTGCCTCCTACGCGAAGAAGGTGAACGGGCACGGAGGATGAAATTAAGGGTCAGACACGCGACCCCCTCGCCATGATGTCGCTTACAGGTGTACAAGACGGTGCAGTGCGTGATCTTCCTTCGTGTTCATCACCTTCGTACACGGAGAACAGACGTTCCGTTTGCGAGCTACTGAAACAAATACTTGTTGAAACCTTGTCGGTTCACTTTACTTTCTTACACCTTTTTTATTATTAAAAAGGGTAATAACAAATTATTATTACTTTATTAAAGCACATGATCGAGAAAACGCACAGAACTCTGTTAAATTTAATATACCTACTTCCATTTTGAAAATGATGCGTGTCGCACGAAGTTCGGTACAAGAATGCCGAATTGTTGGTCAAAGATCTTTCTTTCTCAGCGACGCAACTTCTGAGAAAGGGCTGTCCGAGTGGCACCCCCAACGGGGGTAACAGGCGATATTTTCCAGACGCCCTAAGCAACGTATCTTCTTACCCTACATACCGTAAATAAGAGTAGTAGAATTCTAAGATCTATAACTTGACAAAATTCGAAACATTACAAACCCATTTCTGATCTTTCTGATCCTCTGTTTGAAAATAAATTAATCAAGACGTTGCAAGTTCTAATGGGATGCATCGAAACGCTATTCTTCGGTAACCAGAACTTAATCATTTAGACTGTTTAGTCTTGTGTAGGGCATGAAAGTCATAAGCAGCCCTTCGGTTCCCAGGCTGTTGGCAAATTGTGGCTTACCGTGCCAGCACGGTTCTTATCCGCACTCGTCTAGGTAATTCTTGGCAGGCCAACTCGTTGTTGTTATCAGGCTCGAAACAACAACCCACACTTCCCGCGAAATTTCAAGGGAAAAGAACAGAAAACTAGGAACTCATCCGAGCTTGTTACCATTCTTCGTCCTCTATTTTTCTTCGCGTCGGTTCCGGAAAGTTTGAGAATCTATTGAATATATTTCCCTGAAAACTACGGTCTAAAGTGATTCAGAGATTGTGTAAATAATATAATGATTCTCCTCATGGAAGTACTATTTTATAAATTCATTATTTCAGTCTAATTAGCTACCTAATAATGGACTATTTTCATTTGGAAACGATGTCCTCTATTCTTAGTTGATCAGAAATAATTCTCCCATTAATTCAATTTCATATGTTCTACTTCCTGTGAAATTATTCTTCAAACGAAATAAATGAAAAAGAATGCTGTAGAAAGTTATATTCCATCTGCAATGACGCAGAGAACATTTATTATCGCTTGAGAAGAGAAACTACGTGTAATTTTATTATATGGCATTATTGAAGCGACATTACAAACATCAAAGGCTGAATAATTCATAGCAATTTATAGAGAATGTTGCTGAATAGAAAAGAGCGTGTCGTTTCCGTGTAAGGACAGGCATCATCCAGTGATTGTTTCTTATTAATATTTTACACAGTACTCCCTCCAGCGATCAAACGCTCCTCCTATTTTTTCCTCTCCAAGTCCAACACACCGCCCCTTTACTGTACTGTTATTTAAATTGCAAATCGATACCGCCGCGTGGAAAACACAATTACAAAGGAAACTCATGTAACGCGAAAGCAAGATGGATCTGATAGGGACAATCCAGCCTTCCTGGTGGATTGATCAGCGAGCTTCTGTTTGATGCCAGCAAAACGATTAGAAATTAGACGATTCTGTTGAAATAGAAGCCATACACCTAATCAGAGAAAATGTCATTTTTTTTCACAGAAAAAAACCACCTCTTTCTTCACTAATATTTATCAAAATTTTTCTTTTCCATTTCTTCAGTGAATCTATGTATAATAGTAGAATTAGTACTTGTATAAATAGGTCTATTGATTATATCAACTGAGCTGTGCAAATTACTGCAAATATATTATTATCATGTGTAGCTTTCTTCAGGTTGATTCCACATAATCTCCAAATTCACGCATTCAACAAAACTACAGGCTACTTCTCCTAAATTTCATTGTTTTCCTTATTCATCGTTGAAAGCAATTATGCAGAATTCGACGCATAGAAGATTATCAACGAAAGAGGCATACAAGATATTCGATGAAATTCTTGAGGAAGACAGGGAAGAAGACGAAGATGAAGACAGGTCAGAGGATTGTCCGGCAGATTGTGCGGAGGATGTTCTTCCTGTTGTCGAAAAAGTTGAGAACAGAAAATTCTGGTCGCTGAGAATATTGAATAAAATTTATATTATTCATCTTAAAAAGATTCTGGTTCTTGCAGAAATTTTGCGAGTGTATTCGCATCGCTGAAAACTCGTCAAGATTTTCCTTGCGTGTCATGGAGGCGATGAGGTCGTTGCAGAACGACGAGGATGATTTCCTGCCGACCTCCTCGATCGACGATATCGTCGACTATATCCAGAAGAATTACCGCGACGACGGTGACCTTTACGCTCAGGTGCGAACCGCGCTGAAACAGGTCTGTTCCCAAGGGTTAGTTCTGCGTCAGGCGCAAATTGTGTCTCGCGTGAGACACGATCGCGTTTCAAGGCAAATGCAAACCGTTTATCTCGTTCGCAGACCGTGCATCTATCGACCAATTTCGTTTGCTGTTCAGACTGTTAATTGTAACGCTTCCTTTAGTCGAACTAGCTTGATGAAACATAAATTATAGTTTTAAGATTTACTCCAGAAAGAACTTAAGGGGCTATACCAGTGTGACCGCTCTAAAATTTGGTGATTTTCGAGAATTTTTTTTTTTTAAGAAATATTACATCAAATGTTTTTAAACTTTAGGGATGTATTTAGTTACAAGTCGTATATCTATAATAATTTTTTGGTACAAAAATAATAAATAACAAGCGACTTATACGCTATCTTCCAGGGCTCCAAAAAAAAAAGTTGTTCCACTGCTGCAGTGATTGTCTGAGTGCTTAAAATGAAAAATGACAAAGACGCTGTTAAACTAGAAGGTATTCTCCGTACCATGAACTAGGATTTTTGAAAAATATTAAAATCTGACGAAATGGCGAAGTTTTGAAGAAAAGTTTGGAATTTAGCCTAAAAAAATCGTAGTTTTTTTAATGCCAAATTGACATTTTCCATTCAATCAAAAAAAATCCTAGTTCATGGCATGGCAAAACATGTACTGAACACGCTGAAAAAGTTTCGAGTCGATGCAATAATTTCTATTCGAGTTAGAGCTACAGCAAATTTGAGAAATACCGTTTTGAGAAAAACGCGATCCATCGGCGGTAAGCGTGTTTGAGATTATAAAACTATTTGAGATTCGACCTTAAAATTTTAATATGATATTCTAGGGAGTATAGACTTTCAAAAAATGCAAGAAAAAAAAATAGATTTTTCAAAAGTGTTACACTGACATAGCCCCTTAAGGAAGTACACCCCATCTTGAATTTTCTTTTGTCCTCCTTGCGAGTCAATCAATTTGTCATATCAATTCATAATTATTTTCCTGAAATTTTATTACAGATTCGCTATGGAATTACTTGAAAATGAATATCATTTAATCGGACCAGACGCCGCTTCCATGAATCGAATTACATGTTCCAATAGTCCAAAAGATTGTTCCTTATCCTATACAAAATCCAAAATTCCAAAACCCCATAAGAAAGATAGGTCAAAGAATATTTGTATCTGTGAAACATCGCATGATGAAGAAACAGGACGAACTACGAGCAAGCGCCGAAGAGCCTCCAAAAGTGCAGCAGCTAGAGATTTGGAAAGAACAAGTTCAAAAAGAGAACGGAATAATCGTGAAGAAGATAAGTTAACCGAAGAATCAGCAGAGTGCACTTGCAGCTCAACTTTAACGGATGAAGATAACGTTTCCAAAATACAAGAAAATATGCAGCATGCGTTAGAAAAGAAAGATGAAAGACGACGAAAGTCGGTTCACAGGTCTCTGATGGGTACGCCGAGCATGAGACGAATTAATAATCAAACAATGGGAACTGGTGATACAAGAAAAGATAGAGCAGCAGAAATTGTGAAAGAAATGGATGAAGAGGATTTTGAAATAAATAATGCAAATGAGTCGCAAAATCAAATACGGTCCAAAAAGGCCATACAAACTGAAAAAGAGCTTGAAAGATGGATCGAGCGTTGTCGAAGAGAATGCGAGCGACGAAAAGATCGACGCCCTCAGAATCATTAAATTCCTCTATTAATTCCGTACTTTTCTTACAAGATATTTTAATTTAAATTACAGCTTTCTTCAATTTTGTAAATGCATGTATGCAACCTCCTTTCTCATTACGATATGAAAATTTTGATGTGCATAAATTCTTATAAATTTGTATAAAAATATATGTAATTTTATTATACATCGTTATTTTACACGTATCTCTTACTAAAATTACTGTACGATATTTTTCTGGTTTTATACTGTTTTTCCTTTAATTGTACTTTTACTCTTCGTGATTCAACATATTTGGAGAAATGCGCAAAAATTTTCCGGTTCGATCGGTTGGAATTAAATAACCAGAATCTATCGCGAATGACAGTGCCTTTCGTAGATACGACTTTACCTCGCTGTTTTCTAAAACATTAAACGTACGTAATATATAAAAATAATATTAATATTAATTGTAACATTAATATGCCTCGTAAGAATATCGTTAATGTAAATACATGGATTAAATTTGAAACGCAATGAACTCGTAATATAATTGATTCCATGTGAAAACTATACCTGCGCTTGTATATCTGCGAGGTGGATGAATGGTTTTCCTCCTCGCATTTCCTTTACGAAATTTACTGCATGCATTGTTACGCTGTTTTCGAACGCAATCTGTGTATGCAACTTTTCTTAAGTACTTGTATACCAAATCAGTAACCGTCGATTTTTGATCTTGTCTTCGAAGCAGATTTTGTTCAGGATTTGTATTATTTTTACCTCGAGCTGCTAAGCTATTTATCATGTACAATTATTAATGAGAATAAAAATGATTAATAGTCGCAATTCCATTTACCTTTCCTGTTTCTTCCTTTGGTCTACCTCTATGGGCTCAGGCCAATAACCTCTGTTTTTTGGTCTCATTCTGATTTTATTTTATTATATTTGAATAATCATTAAGAAGAATGGAAGAAGAAGGATTTGAAATACGGACACTCTCGTGTAATTAATAGCACTTATTAATTTTGTATTATTTCTATAAATTGAAATTTTTTTAAAGAAATAATATAAATGTACCAAATTATAAATTTGTGTTTAAAGTTTTTACCGGTAGACGATATTAAAAAAGCAGGCAATACATAGTTCTTTCAATAGCTACGAATAGCGCTGTTAGAGGAATGACCATAGACATATGTATATTAAGCGTCACGAGAGTCCATAACTAAGACGCGCAGGTTGGAAGATGGTGGGGGAACGCAGCGAGCTCTCCGCCAATCGTTTTCCACTTCGTCTGGGAGTATAGCCAATCAGAGCGACAATGCGCAGAAAAGAACGAAAATTGGTCTTTTCGCAGTTATGGACTCTCATGATATCAAGTATAGTAAGTATGGACCGAGCATCCATTGTATAAGCGGTGATGCATACGATGAGAGAGAGAAAATATGTAAGAGAAGTTTCTCTCTCTTTTCAATACCGGAGAAGTGGGGAGAGCCTGTGCAAGAGTTGCGCGAAATGGTTTAAATGCGCAGACGACGCTAATGTAGTATACAGGGTGTCTAATGACTACATCAACAATCGAAGAGGGATGATTGACAAGGTGATTCTAAACAACTTTTTCCTTTGCCAAAATGTTGATTAAGGCTTCGTTTTCGAGTTATTAACAAAAAATACTGGTCAATCAGAGCGCGCCTTTAGCGCGGGCCGAATCACGGGTATTGGGTTTGCTCTGCGTTCAAGCCGTGGTCGTGCTCTGATTGGCCAGTATTTTTTGTTAATAACTCGAAAACGAAGCCTTAATCAACGTTTTGGCAAAGGAAAATGTTGTTTAGAATCACCTTGTTAATCATCCCTCTTTGGTTGTTGACGTAGTCATTGGACACCCTGTATAATAGGGAAAATGACGAACCGGCGTGAGGAGATGAGGGGAAGTGCTCCCTACTTCTCCGAGATTGAAAAGAGAGAGAAACTCCTCTTACATCTTTTCTCTCTCTCATCGTATGTATCACCGCTTATACATACAATGGATGCTCAGTCTATACTGACCAATACTGACTATGTCTATCGGAATCAGAGTAGTTTACATCATGGCGGTCGTGTAGCTGTCAACACCTATTAGAAGAATAATGTTTCATAAGGTGATATTTTCTTATATTTGGAAACGAAATAAATTTAATGTTTTATTTTCTTGCACAGCGCATTTGAATACATACGATTACACTCATGTCATTCACACTTTCATGCGTAGTCATTATAGTTTCATGAACTTGACATTTCAACCTAAGGGTTTACATCAACAATCAACCTCGAATTTATTGACTTTCTTTAAACAGTACTAGCGAGACATGTACATGTAATAGTGTGTGTTATAATGATATAGATTTTTCAATTTTTAAGCATTAACTTGTTAATATTTCTTTCAGGGAGCAATTAAAAAGGTTTCAAGCACCAAAGATGTATCTCAATCTAATATCAAGTCTAAATCAAAAAATTCATCCTCTAATAAAGAACCAGAGGATTCTGAAAAGTTGGAATCAAGACGGATTAGAACATCTAAGAGCACTGAACAAAAGAGAGAGGATGACAGTCGCCCAAAATTATCACAATCATCTAAAATCTCTTCAAAACAATCAGTTAGATCACCTCAAAGCAAATCTATCAGAGAAACTTCATCCTCTACACCTGTATTAAATATTAAGAGTTCTAAAACCTCTACGAGAAACATTTCATCTTCTAAAACATCAGATAACTCTATAAGGAGATCAAGTAGTAATAATGCACCAAAAAGCCACAAATCTAATGAAAAAATTCAAAATAGTTATTCAGAAAAAAGAGGAACGAGTACAATACATGTACCACAATCGGTGACAAGCAAACTTAATGCTAGACTGACTAACAAAAATACTAATCCAGTTCAAAAGAATGAAGTAAAAGTTAAATCAAAGTCAACTGCAGAAATACCTGAGACAAAAACAGAGCCTAGACAACGTAGACTATCCAGAACATTGAGCCCTAGTGAAATAAGAATGTTACATTCTGCTACAAAGAGATCAGACTCTACACAAAAAGTAGATCAAAGTAAAAATAATCAGTCAGAAACAAATCAAATAGATAGTGAATATGATTATGAAGATGATTTTGAGGTAAAATACCAAATTAAAAGATAAAATACAGTTGATAAATTTTTAAAATTTATTTGCAGGATTATGAATCTGATTTCCAAGAGTGTACCGATAGTGAAACATCTGAAGTAAGCGAGGAAACCAGCAACAGCCAGAATAATTTACCTGTAAATCCAATTGAACTACAAACAACAAAACAAGTATTAATATTTATTTAGCTCTAAAATAATGTTAAATGTAATAAGCCTTTTGTTTCGAATCATCATTTCATTACAGCGAAAAGTTGTGAATAGTGCTGAACATAAGGAGGAAGAACACATGCATGATTCTGGTCATTATGAACTTACAGAAGCTAGAAAAAGAGCAGCGAGAATAGAATCAATTGCAAATGATCCAAAGATATCTTCTCTCCTTGAGATAAGACATCCAATTAATAAAACATATAGGTTTGTTCTGAATAAAATCAGCTTCCAAAATAACTAAATTTTACTGTATAATTTGTATCTCTCCATTAAATGATTTAATAATTATTGTACTAGTAATTTATTTGAATTATAATTTAACGTATACATGTTTTTTTTTTAATACAGTGAAGATAGATTGTCGGAAAATAAATCGTTACCATCATCTACTGACGAAGGCTTTGAAGATAGTCGTTCTGGCGACTTTACAAAATCACCCGCGCTCTCACAAACTTCATTTATCGAGTTTCGTAAACCCAAAGAAAATCATAAAATGAAGGTAATAAATATAGATTAAAATAAATTCAATTTTGTATTATTACCATTAACTACTATTAATTTCAGAAATCGAAAAAAAGTTTAAGCAGAGGAGAAGAGCTATTAGAAATGATCAAATTAGATGTCATGGAGTGGTCTCTTTTAGAGTGTTCGCCTATACCGTATGAGGAATTCATTCGAAATTATGGAAAATTAAATACACAACAAGTATGTTGACTACATAATAGTATTCTTACTAAACAATTAATGTACCTGATTTATAGATATCTACACAAACCGGTGAAGATAATATCGATGTAGAAACACAAACGGAGAAGATTGTACTCGAAAATAAATGGACTCAATTTCCAATAACTTGTAGAAGTAATTTAAAAACCAAAGAAGATTTAGACTTGTTTAGAATGGATCAAATTGGAGTTGGAGATGACAGTGATGTTGAAACTGTGAACTCTATATCATCACCATCGTTTGATGTATTACGATTATGTGATTTTCTCAGTCGTGCAAGAAGAGTTGTATTATCTTTATTAGAAGAAAGACGATCCGGGGGTAATGTTTTTAAAAACGAAAAGCAAGTGCCTTTCAGCGACGGAGTTGTTAAACTTTCTATAGGTTCAATTACATTTTTGGCCGGCAGACCAGTAACAATAATTCATTATTCTGAGGTTTTAAATAAAATATTAATGACTATTCATTCAGCTGTTGAAGAGGTAAGAATTTATACGTTAAGAAATGAAATCTAAGCAACGAAAAATACATTATTTATTTTTAATAGGAAATTGAAACATCTAATATACAGGATTACATAACTGATTGTTGTATTGGATGTGTTTGGAATATTTCTGAACCATCCATGCCGATAAAATTATTTTATTCTACCTGTCCTATTACTGCGTGTTGTTTCCATTTGACCAATTACAATGTTGTATTTGCTGGACTCCAAGATGGGTATGTTATTTTATCATTTATTTTTAATTAATGCAAGTTATGTTTTAGTAAAACTATTGAATATTTTAAATAATAGATCAATAAGTCTTTGGGATTTGAAGGAAGATGAAATGTGGCATCACAAAGTGATAGATAAAGCAAATGAACGAAATTGGACGATACGAATGTCCACTTATACAACAACAAATACAGAAACAAATATTCATACGTCACAAATAGTTGCAATACGTATATTATCTAAGATCGAAGAAAAATCATTAGAACAGCGTAGTAATAAATTTGTACCAATACAGGTTTGTTAAAATTACTGTATGCGTAATTTAAAAATGTTTGATTAACATCCTTGTATTTTCTAAAATAACAGATATGTAGCTTAAATGAAAAAGGTTCTCTTATAATATGGAGCGTTTTGCATAGCATGGGAATAAATGTTGACGATTTAGGATTATCGTTTTGGGGTAGCGTAAGACTGGTTAAAAGTCAGGAAGTTCTTTTACAATTTGATAATCGAAAAAAGTAAATATCTTATAACAATCTATGTACCATGTGTAAAATATAGATTTCATTAAAAGTTTTGAACTATTTAAAAGGATCGATGCAGCTGCATTTATTGATATGCATGTGGATTGTGTTGATAGCAACAATCTTTATATTGCCACTAACAATAGCAATATTTTGCATGCTACTTGTGTTGGTAACAAAGCTAATCCTGCTGTATATGGAAACTTTGATAGTAGTAAGTTATAAACAATGAAAATCAAATTTAAGTAACGTATTATTAATTTATTATTATAATTTAATTTATATTAAATATAATATTTCAGATCCCTGTGGAAATGTAACTTGTATAGAGACATGTCCATTTGGACATTCTTTCTTTCTGGTAAAATTTTTTGCATTTTCTGTATTTTAAATTTCGTCTTACCTAAAATGATTTTTATTTTTTTCATTGTAGGTTGGTTGTGATGATGGGACAATTCGATTACATTCTTTAAATATTGAGAAACCAATTTTACAATTAAAGGACGAGGAGAATAAATATGAAATAAAGTCGATACAGTGGTCAAAATCGAAGCCATTCACAATTTTTGTATTGGACAATAATTCATGGTAAGGAAGACGAACAAAACAATGATTACCTTAAATAGTTTAAATACTTTTGTGATACAAATTTTTATATCAATGTTACAGTGTACATATGTGGGACTTGAGTAATAGCGATATACATCCAACGTACACAGTAAACATGCAAAACAGTGGATATATAAGCAGTATGCAATTATCATCCTGTAAAACAAAGCAAGACATGTCTCATCAGTATTTAGTACGTCGAATTTTTGTGTGTATCATAATTTATAAAAAGATAATGCATATAAACCAATGTTTTTAGGCCTTTGGAACGGAGTCCGGAAATGTAGAAATACATAAACTAAAAGCAAATGTTCATTATACTAAAAAAGAAGATTATTTAGAGGAATTAAATACTTTTCTACGATACGTTACGATTTTATAATAGAAAGAACATTGCTACTGAAATTTGCTCGAGGGATTTGAAGCTTTTTATACTTCCAGTGAACATAAACATGGATTTTTTGTGCCTTAAATTATATATTTAATTTAAAGGACAATCTTGTACAGCAGTGATGAACATGTGATATTGGTATTAATTTTGCATTTTTATTCACAGAGAGCTGAAGAAGAAATTTTAAACAGTGTGTGTATAAATTTAAAATAATTTTTAATTATTGCATTTGTTTGCAATTAGTAACAATCACCATTTGTACAAAAGTAGTGTTATTTACTATGCACATTCTTCACGATCATTCACAAAAATGAAGCCGTCCATAAATTATATACAAACGATCATTTTATAATATAACGAGACATTTAAACAATATACTATTAATAAAAATATTACTCTGAAACAAATTTTTATTAATCTAAGTATCACTTTATCCAAATATAGATATGTTAAGATCTCTATACATTTAGAAAATGAAAGAAGAATATTTATTCTTATTTATTCAGCACTATATTTAAAAATACAACAAAAACGAGGCTGTAAATCATATTGCAATAGAAATCTAAACTTTTCGCGCCATTGCAATGAGTTTGATTTGCAAGATCGTCAACAATATTGGTGTAACTTGGTACCCGTTGTATCTGATGAACCTCGATTTGTAAATGTTGCGTTTCTTCCTGTAAAAAAAAAAGAAACATTTGAATTTGTTTTTGATATTTCATGCTAATTCATACATGCAATAATTTTCTATAAAAATTTCTTGTTACACATATACAATGTGCGATTACTGCTCTTGGATCGATCAGATTTTAGCGCGGATCAATGCCGAGGCAAAGCCGGAGGAAAAGAAGCATCAAATTCATGTAGATCCTATTATAATAGTTCATGGAGGTGCAGGAAGAATACCACGAAAGAAACGGGAACGTATGCTTTTCGAGGTTACAGAAAACATTTTATTATTAACTGCTATTCTCTTTTGCGAAGATACTTGTAAACTCAATTTGATTTACGCTAATAGGTCAAAAATGCAGCGATAGAAGCGTACAGCGCCCTTATCAATGGTAAATCAGCAGTAGTGGCAGTAGAAAAAGCAATTTCGTACATGGAAAGTCGGTCATTGTTTAATTGTGCTAAAGGAGGTTCTTTAGATATTAATGATGAAGTTGTTACTGATGCTGCAATCATGACTGTAAATGATGCCGGTTGTGTGGGTGCTGTTCGTGACATAGAACATCCTATCTCCCTAGGTTCGTTTTAATTACTCGGCTGCTTAATAAAATTTCGTAAAATTAGATCTATTATATAGCAAGAAAAGTGTTAGAAAATACAGACCACGTGCTAATCGTTGAAAATGGAGCTCAGAAGTTTGCCTTGGATAACGGAATTCCAATTTTACCGCCGGGAACACTGAGCATGCGCGAATCCGTAACGTCATACAATTCGGGTGAATACAAGTCGTATGGGTCTTGCACAATGTCCGACTGTCCAAATTATTTGAACCAAAAGGATTACGATAATAACGAATGGGAAGATAATGCCGAAGGAAAGAAAGAATGCGATTCAGACTGTATTTTGAAGCGATCCATGGAAGGAGAATCGTATCCTTATCACGTGTCATCGTTTGATTCGGACGGCTTGTTCGACGAGCCAATACTTTTGGAGGTATGCTTTGTTTCTTTACTTTTTTAGCTATGAAAATAATGCGGTATGTTGCAAATGATGAATAAGAAAATTATTGATAGACTAGCGCAGTTGGGGTAGTTGCATTTGATCGAAAAAGACGACTCGCAAGCGGTACATCAACGGCGGGAGAACCTAGAAAGCCGATTGGTTCTATAAGTGCAACTGGCACGGTGATTGGCTGCGGCATTTACACGGATGAACATGGCTCCGTTTCCATTTCTGGCAACGATACAAATATCTATTGTTATGCTCCTGCACGAAAAATAATTCGATATTTATCTGAAGATGCTGAAATAAGTAACGCGGTGAACGTAGTGCTAGACAATTTTGAACAAGAAACGGGAGAGTCTAATATAGGTTGCATTGCGTTAAACGCAAAAGGCGATCCTTGCGTTTCTTTTAAATGCTTGCATTTTCCTTGGGCTTTTTGTCAGAAGGGTTTCGTTTATTACGGTTTAGCAGAAAATGAAAAGTTTTGGGAGAAAGTAGATGTGCTCGAACGACCTTTAGACTGCATGTGCAATTCCTCAGACGAAGATTAAATAGTTGTTAATATAATATATCTATAAATATTCTTATTTATTTATTGGTTTACGGATAGATAGAAATATACTTTCACATACCGGAAATATGATGCTATGATTCGTATCGTATATTCCATACATTGAAAACACAGGCGTTTGACCCTTGAAGCTGTTCCCGAAAAGTTTATCCATTTCCAACAGCATCGTGTAAATCTCTTCCCGTCGTAAGTCTGTTATATTTTCATGAGCTATCACCTGAAAACAATATATTATACAGGGTGTCCAAAACCACCCGTCCAGGGGTGTTAACTTCTCAGATAAGCATATTCGGCAAAAATGTTTGGGATAAAAGTTGCAGGGATTAATGGAGGACGTAAGTCCATGACCTTGTATTTGACCTTCGGATCCATTTTTAAGGTTATTTGGAGGTCAGTACGTGTTTCTTAAATGGGAACTCCTATTTTTGACTACGGATTCTGTAAATAACCTTAAAAATGGATCCGAAGATCAAATACAAGGTCATGGACTTACGTCCTCCATTGATCTCTGCAACTTTTATCCCAAACATTTTTGTCGAATATGCTTATCTGACAATGAGAAGTTAACATCCCTGGACAGGTGATTTCGGACACCCTGTATATTAAATTGAACGTCGTTTCTAGAATATTTTAATCGTGTCTTTGTTCCAGAGAAATTACCGCGCTCAATGGGGCCCATGCAAGTAAACACACTTCATCGGTATCCATTTCATTGAAGCATAGCGTTCGATAATCTTTTTTTCTCGCCTGATTGTTGCTATTTTGCGTTGAACTTCCTACGATTGTTACAATATCTCCAGTAAGTTAAAAATATTTCAAATGTCCTTGATATTTAAAATATATTTACCAGTCTTCCCATCGATATTCTTCAGGTCGACAAAAGCCACATCTCCAAGACCGGACATCATACAGTAAAGAGCACTCAAATCGATTCCAGCTTTATTTGCTACAAATTAATTTGTTTATTTCGATCAATGTTTAAGTCACGTCTTCTCTCTTGCTAATCCAGACACGTGTACCTACTTTGTATAGGTTTAGGTAAAGAGTGAAAATTATCTGGCATTTGCTCGTTATTGTCGCTCAAACCAAGGATAGAGCTCTTTTCGAAAAATTTTCCAACCATGCTCGCATCCGAACAACCGGACTTCGAATCTGAGATATTCTTCAGAGCAGTCACGAAGGCGTTCCATCCTGTAAGGGAATCGTTCCAAAAAAAAACCCAGCTGTTTGTAAATTAATTCTGTATAAATATTTCTCATAAAATGTTCTAGCAGGATTTATACGTTTGCAGTTGGAGAAATTGTTTCTTTATCCTCACCGACATCTCTGTATCCCGTGAAGCATGCCTTAGCTCCCTTCAGGTCTTTCAAACTCTTGAACCATGAATCCTGTTTGACCACTGCCGCGATTCTGACAAACTGGTTATTCTTCTTGGGTGTTGCTTGTACGATCGTTTTAAGACCCATTCTGAAACAGCACTCTACACACTATAGAGAACGTCTATCTTCTATGAACTTACGAGTGATATTTGCTCACTTTCTGGCCTCGAATAGCTCTTCCGGCCTGGCGACAAATATATCCGCTCGCTGAGTCTTCAAAGCCTTCATACACGATGCTCTCGTCGGCTCTTGGATGCAGGAAATTGCTGGTTCCACGCCGTAAACGATAGCAGCTTCTCTAAGCCATCGGCATTTTTTCTCTTCTAGGTTAGACGCTACGCACCATCGTACTCTTCTCGATGGATGGCACGTTGCATGGTTGTTGGCGCTCATGAATCGAGGAACTACGATTACACATCGTTGTTATGATTATTATAAAGTGCACTGAAAGCTTCATTATCGTCTGAATGATCAAACATTTTTAGATTAACGAAAAGAACTACTGTATGTAGGTTTGAAAAATTTTGTAAAATTACGAATGTTTTCTTTTGCTTCATCAACGTTGTAATTAATTGTTAATTACATCTGATTAGGAAGTCCTCCGGCGTTTCCAGAGTATCTGTGCTCACCGGCGTCGGATGATAGTCCTCTAATAAGTCGCGAAGTATCCAACCGTACTTCTCCGTCTCCAGGGAGCCCATCAACTTCTCAACCTTTTCCGCTATCTCTCTGGTAAAACGCAACAATCGCTTAAAAACCATACTGTTGATGGTACGAATTGTCCAGCTTATAACGTTTCTACTAACGATCTAGCAACAATCACTGGCCATGGTTTCGTTATCCACACACAGGGTTTGTCGAACTTTACCGGCCTCGTGGTACCATCGGGACAAAGGTAATTGTAATTTTCCTTGTTAATTCGTTCATCCTGTTTTCACATGTTGATTCGTTAGCTGATGGAAACCTCAGGATACTGTGTTGTTCAAAACAATTAGAGGCTCGTGTTTTTATGGATGTACTGGGTGAATCAGATAAAATATTACAAACTATTGCAGCTATCGACCTAATTCTTTTTTTTTAATTAAATGATACGAGATACATGATTGTGTGGCGTATAAAACTGTTTCTAAAATAGATTCGTCGTCTTCTTTAAATTGGAAGCTATACTAATTTCTTTTTATTTAAATAGCTTTTGGATAACATTTATATGAACCATTTTTTGATATTCCTAATGGTTAATGATTTATGGCAAAGGAAAATTAAAACAGACGTATTTTGCCTGAAAATTCATTTTATTAAATATTGAAGGTGACGACCATTTTCTTGTAAACGTGTATTTATTTCTTTCATAATGTTATGACGTACATCAGACAGTACTGTTGCATTTACCAATTGACAAGCATCGTGTATTCGAGTTTTCGAATACAAAATCAAACGCAAAATGCTTGTAAGTTAGTACCTGCAATAATGTTGTCCGATACACAATATTGTAAGAGTCATAGTATTGAAAAAAGAAGAAATAAATGTTAACAAGTAAATGATCGTCATTTGCAATCATCATCATATTATAACGCAGAAACATGTCCGTGAGTTACGCTGAGACGTTGTACGCATGCTCGAAAACAAGGCAGAAAAATATTATATGTGTATGTACTCTTACAATGATAGTACAGTAAAACCCTTATTAAGGGACACTTTTTAAGGGATACATAAAAACTAATTACGTCATCATTGTGAGTGCTTCGACTACTTTTACTTTGATTACTCTGTAAAAATTTACTGCGCATGTCTATCTCTTACGGTTTAGGACTGCGCAGGGGTTCAAGGTTTTCATGAGATTGTGGCACCCTCGTATTTAATAAAATGAATTTTAACACAAAATACGTCTGCTTCATTTTCCTTGGACGCCTCTGCGTATTCGTTACTCCATTATTCCCTTTGCCATAAATCGTTAACTGTTAGAAATATTAAAAAATGGTTCAATTTGATAAAAGCTATTTAAACAAAAAAAATAGTATAGCATTCCATTTAAGAAAGACGATGTCAGTTTGTTTTGACCTTATGGTAGCCACTTTAGAAAAATTTTTTATACACCACACGATCAAACACTTCGTACCATTTAATTTAAAAAAAAGAATTAGGTCGATAAGGTTTCGGTTTCGGAGATAATACTTTGTAACATTTTATCTGACTCATCCTGTAGAATAAATCAAATTCCAAGACAATTCAGGTGAACACGATGAATCTCTAATAAGAGTAAAATTATTTAAACAATCCTCTAATTATCTTGAACGGATCAGGATCTGATCTGCCTACCTTGAAATGTTCTAGAGTATCGTTTAATCTGACCCATGCTATGTCACCTGCGTTGTCGGTGAGACATAACAAGGCCCCCTCTCGACCGTGATATTTATCACTAGAATAACAGCCAACAGATTTGTCGCATGCGGCACAAAGATTCCTGTACTTTGATTCTACGAGTAAGAAGATCGTAGTAATTCTTCATAAACGAATGTAAGTTCACTTGGCTAGTTTTAACCATCGGTACACCTACTTAATTTGCTATCGAATACAGAGTCCGCGGACCAGGGACCAGCGATACACGCCGCGTCAAAGAAATCAGATAAGCCGGTCATTCTGTTCTCCATCAATGTCTTCTCTGGATCGCATTGTTTCAGTATTACCCACTTTTCGAAGTACTGTAATTAAGACAGGTATTCTTAATTTGTATGATATCTCTTTGAAAGAATAAAACGATTGATGTGAAGACATTAACCGTAGAGAAAGCATTGGTCCAATCATCGGTGTTATCGAGTCCAGGATGGCAAAAGATTTTACTCTTAACGTCCCATATGTTATTCACGTCCTTGTGAACCAAAACTACCATCTCGTAACGCTGCTTTTCTACGAATGTAACAATAACGATGGAACATCAGATTCCCCAAATGTACGAACAATTTTGATGGTATTCGATTTACTTTGTAATTACCATCTGGGAATAATCTTAGCTCGTTCGTGACTAGAATATTGTATTCGTTGTACGCGGATGCCGCGACGAGATCTTCTGGTTCCAACACGGCAAAATCGGCATTGGCCATAGTCAATCGTCGCAGGCAATTGAATCTACGCAATTCGACATCGCGTTCAAACGATATGCATGGTGAACGAATGATGTTGATTAATGATTTTTTAAACGGATACGAGATTTTTCAATCTTCTTATGAATTTGTTATACTCGCCTATCGTTTCCTATAACACACTCTACCTGACTCCCTGAGGTTACCAATTGCGGGCATAGTCTACTGATCCTTTTTGACGTGTGAACGCTTTCAACCACGCACAGTTTCACTGAAATGTCATCTTTTTATTTACTTGAATAATTGCATTCAAATTACATACTCTTCACGATAAACATTTCTTCGCGTTTACAACGTTAACAAACTATTTTTTTTATTGTACAATATCAATCATAGTATCCGTTTGTCTAGTGAAAAACTGACTTTGGAGTCAAAGTTTAACCGCAGCAAATATCATAAATCTGATTATTTAATAAAGGCGTTAAAATAATTAACAATCATCTGATAAAAGCTTAATTTCAATAATTTATTTGAAATTATAAAATGATTGATATTGTACGGTTTTATTTGTGCATAATTATAAACCGGTTATTTTGAACAGTATGCAATACTAATTTCATACCACGGTTCCAATTTCAAGGTTACTGTCTATTCGGCAAACTCGTTATGAAAGTGAATGTACATATTTAACTTGTTACATTCGTATTTAATTTGCAAACGCACTGTTATTGGAAATCTTATGCCTCTTCAATTCTTTCTTTTTTAATAAATGGTAGATAATAATATCTCGTATACTTACAGTGTTCAGCGTTTACATGTTCATGGAAGAACGCATGAAGAAGTAATAGAACGAACAACCGAATATCCATTTTCGGTGTCTGACCAGCCAACATCTTAAGAGGAAAAATTGGTATGTCCTTAATCACTTTACTTTACTAGAGAACATACATGTACGATTGTTTTCTATCTTATACGAAATTATACAGAAAAATTACACTGTTCCAGTAATAACACTGTTCAATATGTGTTTCTCAAGAATTAAGGATGATGGAAAAAAACAGCTTACGGATTCGTATTCATTGCAGAAATTTATAAAAAACGTCTACTAAATATTACATCAATCTCTCACGCAAAATACATTCAAGAAATATTATCGGTTTAACAGTTTCAGTGATCAAGCGATACCTTGTTGACTAGAAGCATGACGATGTTAATGAAACACAAAACTTTTGCCTATACTTTATTAATTAGACGAACCGCAAGATGACATCATTGAAATAGTACATAGTTATCCGACGCTCGTCGGACGTACCTCTACGAAATGAAACACCGGGTTCTCTTCATACGTGACCAGTTCTTTGTTTCTCTGGATGTATAAACCTGACCACGTTTCACGCTCGAAATAAATAAAACGATGGCACAGAAGTAACGTAAGAGCGGAACCGAGATAACTAACAGTGTATTATGAAGAAAAGAAAAAATCGGGTGGTTCGGTTACATTGAACAAAAGCTTAACTCGATGACCACTGGAAACTCAACAGGCGATGATCAGAGAGAGTTTACCACATGGTGCTCGAACACATGGAGAATTTCTTTGCATTCAACACGTATGCACACATGTAGTCGCACGAAGACTGGATTAAATCGTCGCTGGCTGTTGATGCGGCCAAAAGTCCAGTAGGGAACTGGAATTATTGAAGCTGGTGGGGGTTCTGCGTAATACACGCAACGGTACAGTAGATAATGTTAATGTTCCTCGATAGCTTCAGATTAATCCAAATGCTGAAGAACAACGATGATCATTGATTGTCAGACTTTCTTAGATAATTGAAAAAAGATTTTTAAAAAAGATATTTATTGAGCAAAGATTGCATTCGTAGCAATACATTTGATAAATTATGAAACTTGAAATGGTTTGTACAAAAAATTTACCTTCTATACGCAAGTGAAGATTTTATTCAATCTTTCCGCGGATTTTCCCGATGAGTCTGCCACAGCACGGTAATACCCAGAATGTAAAATATAGGAATTCAAATATCGTCACGGATTTTAATATTACCATAGTCGTAGCTACAAGAAAGAGATTTTTATTTTAAAGCTTCTAATTTCATATAGAGTTCTATTTTAGGGACTCAATTGAGACATAATATGGGAATTGATATTGCACCGCATCTCCTATTAAAATTTCAAACTTTTCTTGCAATGACAATTTCTCTTGATATTGGCCTGCTCATAAAGGAACCTGAGTCACCCGACAATTGCTACTGAATTACTTTGTTAATGCTACAATTGTCAGAAACGACGATTGCGAGTGAATTATTGTCATCCATATGCAGCATAGTTTCAACCAGACACGTGTCCGTTCTATCATTTTCTATTACCGGTATTATTTTCTTGCATTGTATACAAATTTTTTGAAAAATTCAAATCTTCCAATCTAATTCAGCTAAATACGTCTTAATAAAATGATAAAAAGATATTTTAGTAATCAAATAATTAGATTGACGAATGAAGATTTATATTTCAGACAGTTATATTTTGATTTTCTTTTTGATACAGCTAACATATAATATGAAAATGCATATCCGGTGAACAGCGGACTTCATACTAATGAGATAATTTTAATCAACATTGACAGCAACGTTTATAGTGTATACTGATGTTCCTATTATATTTCAAATTATCTCTCAACAAAGTATGTGAAATTAAACAGTGAGTACTCGAAAATAAATTAGGGAACATTTGTGTCATCTATTAGGAAGCAGCTGAAGCTAGTTATCAGCTTATCGGTCGTCCTGCCGGCCGTCTGTAAGTTGCCAACTTATCGACCGATCATTCGACAATCGCTAGGTTGCCGACTTATCGATCGATCATTTGGCAGTCGGTAACTTGTCGCATAGCTTTCGCTGTAGCTTGATAGGTAGCGCTAGTATAACAGTTTTTTTTCGGCGGTACAATGGGTAATATCACTATTCTACATTATCCATCATTCCTATTTACCGATCGTACCCCAGGCCCGCTGGGCCCACTTGGGGTGCCGAACTTTATCACAGGGGATGGCAGTCTTTAACAGTATCTCGTCGGTGCCTTGGGGTACCGGGTACTCCAATAATGACGCCCCAGCGGTAACAAAGGCATGTTTAGTCTTCTTGGATCTGTAATCACTGTTGTAAATCGGTTCATGGGTAAACAAGAGAGGAAATAAAAAAAAAATCGATCAATAAGTCATTGAATAGTTTGCCTCATTTTTGTACAGATGACGCTGAAGGCGAATTTTAAAAATAATTTATGGCGGTCTTTTTAAAATTTCGTTTGTCGAACGGTTATGTTAGTAATTTTCAAGTCTTGTACTAATTTTGACTGATTTCTAAAAAAGATTTGACCCCTTAAAAACAAAGGCTTTCCAGTCTTTTTATATCTGTAGTCACTGATCATATATTTCACAAATATTACAATTTTATAATTCTTACACTTTTATTGAATTACAGTACAATTATTATTGAGCTGCACCAATTTAAATGTGATATTAACTGGTATGTATGTATATAGTTAATATCAGAATACAGAGTAATCAGCATTGTAATTAGCATTTTAATGTAAACATAATATATTAAAAATTTGTATAAAATTGCATAGCTTTAATAGGTACTAATATATGTATACTTCATTTAAATTTGGTGTTTTATGTTTTCTGTTGAACAATTTCACGTATCTATTAAGTGATCTGTAATTAAAATATTTTGTATGCATATAGACATGAGAATACATAATGTATGTCTGATTTGTTTTACAAAAATTTATTAATATATACTGTTTGTAACACTTTGTGAATATAAATATCTATATATGTATATATGTATACGTATACATACTCAGATTTAACATGTCCAAATATATACTGTTATGGTATTTAAAGATTTTTCATTCAATTTTAAACTTTGACAAAGTAAACAAGCTTCGCATAACTTTTGCAAACAAAATAGTTATTTATACTTATGCACGTTACGTTGATATTGCTACAATACTATATTTTTGTAGTACTGCAGTTTCTCATTTTCCTGAAACAATGTTAGGATAAATATTATGCACATATGATACCACACTATATACAGTACTTTCCCCAAAGGTTTATTCAGCTTTATTTATACAATATAGAAATTTAATGACATGAAAGATCTTAAAATATGATCGGATAAAATCGAAGGTTCATATAAATCTGGTTCGTTTGTACAGTCCACGAACAGAGTAATTATAAATTATTCTTTTTTTTTTATGATAGTTCTTCTTAACAACGTGGTCTCCGCTCGCTAAGTACAGTATGTAAAGGCAGCCTACACCCAATAGTATAAATACAATTGTGTATGTAAATGTTAATAAAGAGTTGACTGTTATAAATTGTCGGCATAAACAGCATATCCTTTTCAATTATTTTTATCGTAATAACGTGTCTGTATATACGCATATATACATACATATATGCGTGTACATACATTCATATGTTCTCTCTATATATTTATTTATATATATAATATTTATAGAAAATTATTCTAACTACATTAATATATACATATAAAGGCAAATGTGACATACCTGAACTTTACTCGTTTCTTATTTTATAAAAATATGTGTATTTATTACGTCTGTTCGTATTTTAATCAATACTATTATTAATATTGTAACAGTACACAACACATCGCTTTAAAAGTATGCACATAGTCACATTATTTACTCTATATTTTCATCATTGTATATTACAGTTGATTGTTGATATATATACTTGTATGGACTGAAATGTAATATTTTTGGAACAGTTTTTGTACAGTATATTAAGTAGTTCATCGAACAATGTATAACATTCAAGGTTTCTGACATTTGCCTTTTATCGTTTCGATTGTTCTTTTCATTTAATTTCCAATTTAAATGTAAATCTAATTCTGCATTACACCTTATTGACATTTTTGTCATCAAGTTACGAACAATTTAAAGCAATAAAATTATTTATTTTACTGGCATCATTATATAATTGTTTTTTTACTTCACTTGCATTGAGTCGTGTACAACAGACTCATGACAGCGCTCTATGTACCTTTATCAATACAATATGATGTTTGGCAAGTTTAATAATTTTGGAAGTAACGTCATTCGATTAAGATTCTTTTAATTAATCACACTTCAATACGATCTTAAACACTTAACATCTATGTCACTTACATATCGATTAAATCATGTATAATGTATTCATAGATGAAATAACTGAAAGAGATGTGTTAAACTTTTCAATAAACGACGCACCTAATAAACGTACTTCTATATATGCATGGTTTAAAAAATTAAAAATCATCACCTGTATATTTCAAAGGAAAAAGAACAACAAAACATAAGAAAATCAGAATAACATAACTTGATGTTTCGGTTGTATTGGGTAAGCAACCAAAACACCAACACGATGGAAACCCGAGAAGTCATAATGATTAATTAAAATCATCGCGAAGCTCCCAAATACGACAACATTAATTGAATTAGAATATTATAACTGTTCCCTTGAGTTTTAATAGAAAAAGAAATGAAAAATGTATTCTATATGATACTACATTTTTTGGGAAACATTAAACGTATACTCATGTTTATATCACTGTTCGAAATAATAAATAAAGTCATTTTATTTAAATATAACAAATTTTCAGAGTGTTATTTACTTTTCTTCTATTTGTGTAGTGTTTTGATTTCTTTATGCAATATTACTATATGTACAATCAGTATTTCTATGTTTGGTGATTATCTTAAAGAAAAGCATGAATCGATACGAGTCTCTGAAATATCTAAAAAATTTCGTTGTTTAGTCGAACATGATGCAAAATATTAGCAACCAAGCTTCTTTCAAGATGAACCTTTCATTTATTTTATTGTACTTAAAACTGTAAAAGTGTTTTCTTCTTAGCACCGCGTACATCCGTCAGGATACTTTTAAGTGCGATCACCGTATCAAGAAAATTTGTCTAATCAAACGTTTTTAAACGTGATTCCATGATAGCTTCATTCCTTGTGTTCAGGATCAGGTTTCGTTTTCGGTTCCATCGTCGTGGAACGAGGATGATGAGGATTCGTTTGATTCCTTGGCACTAACAACACATTTCCATCAGCCGATTGCTGAAGACTGTATTCGTATGGATGATATTGATTGCCATCAGGATCTCTCAGAGACTAAACATTAAATAATACAGTTATCAATTTACATTCTTCATTTGGAATGAACGAGAATTTTATTATACTGCTGAAGCTATAAAGTCCTACATTTATTTAACTCTAAATAAAAATTTGTACAGATTTTAATTATTCTTATTTACCAAACTTTATATAAGTTAACATTAACGTTTATGGTTTACTAAAGACAGTGAGATTTTAAATATTTTATTATATTCTCAATAGTCGTTCATAGTAGTAAAAGGGTTAAAATAAATGGTGTAATGAATGAGAATAAAGTTATATACTAACTTGAAACACATGACGATAAAGTTGACTAAATTTATCCTTAACACGTTGCCTTTCAATGAGCATGAACTCTCGTTCACGGATGAGTCTCATCTTTCGGTCCCTCATCTCTTTCACTTCATCGGCTAGGCTTATGATTTGATCTAGTTTACGTTTACGACAATTTTGAGCGGCTACTTTATTCTTGCCTCGTCTTCTGATGTCACGTATCAAAGATAATTGAGCTTCACTGAGATCGTATTTGCTAAGACGTTCGTTAAATTCGTCCATAGGAAGATTAATAATATCGTTTACTGGAATGGGCACGTTCAACGCTCTGGCTCTCTTTTCGTCCCTCGTTAAATGTTCCTCGCCCTCGCTTTTGCGTACTAAACAAACAAGGAGAATAAAGTAAATTATTGGTTCAGTAAGGGATAAATATTTTTTAATTAAATTTGTTGAATTGTATAATGGGATCTATTAAAATTTTATTTATTTTACCCTACACGCCTTTTTTCTCGAAAGTGTTTATCCTCCCAAATCTTTCCTACAGCAAAATATACTAATAAAGCTTACCTTTTTTATCACGGGAGACAGGACGCTGAAGAGATCCGGAACTTTCCGCGGGTAAATGATACGTGTGATTATGATGGACGTGTTCTATAGCGGAACGTCCTAAAAATAACAAAACGATTGTTACTCAACATGTGTCCTAAATACTATAAATAATATATGGTGTATCTGGGACAAGCTATACCTTTAAAATCGTAAAGGATTAAAAAAAAAAAAAATGCCCTCCACTTCTGATGCAGATACATTATTCTTTTTTCTACTATTTTAAATGTACAGCTTACCCACTCTGTATACCGAATCAAAGGTTTAATAATATACATGCAAAAATGAAGAGATACATCGTTCTTACCTGATTGATGACGGGTGAAATCTACGCTACAGCTGTATTTCATTTCCGGTTGTGGTCCAGCAGCACCCTCGATTGGCCCTGAATAAGCGTTTCCTGGAGCACCAGCACCAACTGTATGGGAGTCGTAGTCATACTTCATTGGAGTAGTCGGATGTGCTGTGGCTCCCAAAGGTGAACCTATTACAGTAAAACGTAGATATATATGCAAGAAAAGATATATGCAAGATTTCTATCCCCTCCACTGGGGGGGATCCCCCTAGGCGATATAAATAATAACACAAATATGTTGATTTTATGTTTCGAGGTTTTTAAGATCCCATTTGTTACAGTTAATATTATTTGAGGATTTTAAGCATAAAGTATACAAATATTGCACACACATGTATTCTTACGTAGTAGCGAAAGGGTTAATAAAAGCAGAAGTAAAGTACTTGGTTATTATTTCATTTTAAATATGCTTACCAGTTCCTTGTTCCTGGAAGTATCGTTTTGCAAACATTTGATGCTTTTTCTGAGCAACCGGAGGCATGGAACGCTCGGTTTGACATCTTGGAGAACCGGCGTTCCTTCCGGAAACGGAGTAGCTACAATCGTATGACATGCGAAATTTGCTAGAAACAGAAAGGAAGAACAACTATTAACATTTAATATCTATAACATAAATAATTTTATTAATCTAGAAACAATCTAGGTCTTAAAGAAAAATTTACAAAATAAAAATTTGCTTATAGTTTTCAGCATTACCAAATCAATTTATCAAATAAAAAAAGATGTTATTTCGATAAGTCAATCCTTCAAGATCAAAATAAAAAAGAAGTTGAATTTTTATTTAACAAATAGTGTTTGAAACAAAAATTCATTGCAAAATAAGGTCTATGCTTATTAAATAAAATCGAAACGAGTAAAATATTTTTATTTGGAAAAGAAGGCGATTAAATTAATATGAAATGATCTCTGCAACAAAAATACTTTCGAGTGCAAAGGGTTAATAAATTGGTGAAATTAGCAAGTAATATTTCTTTGAAGTGATTTGAATGTTTCAAAACAATTGAATCATTAATACCTAGCATAGTCCATAGTGTAATGAGAATCGGCTTGCGTATGACTGGAATTAGATCCAGTTTCCATCCATTCGCCATCTGAAAGGGATGGTACACGCTCGCTGCCCATGCTACTGACAGCACTATCGCTGGATGCATCCATCCTTTCGTCTGTTACACCCGGAAGTGTCGTAACGCCTGTTGCCGATGGAGTCGTACCACCAGCTGGCTGAACTCCTGACAAGGCCGCTGCTCCCGTTGGACCAGAAGCGTTATTGTTACCATTATCTAACATACGCATGGTGTACATGCCTGCAACATATCATTTCAATGATGGATTAGAAAAATGTTCATTAAGGATGATTAAAAATTCATATATCTTAATTCTTAACTCACAACCATTTTAACCCGAGTAGTATATAGTCAAATAAATTTAAAAAGAGGTATAAGGGTCGAAAGGGTTAAATAGAAAAATTAGATCACAGTCTTTCATCTAAAGTTAAAGCTATCTATTTTTTAAACAAAAGGGTTCTATGCAATGGAAAATAATAGTCAAAGAAATAGTGTGAAGTTTAGAACATTAATATCATTAAATTTTTTATTTTCCTTGACTTAAAGTTAGTCTTTCAAGTTGAAAATGCTGATTTGAATGAAACTTTGTAAGATTGTAGAAAGCATCGAGTTACACAACTATTTCTTCTGCTGAGTGGGTGAAATCATCCCTTCAACTCCGCTCAGAAATATGCATAAGAAGAGACAACGTGAGGAAATTTCATTCCAACAGAGTGTAGAATGAAAAAATTAATTTTTAGTATCTTCGATAATCCGCTCGATCGTTTGTGTCTGACTAGACATGGCTATTTCTACTGTGGCGTTCAACGTGTTAAAATCAGAATTTTCCGAGTAAGAAGCATGCCTGGTTAGAAACACAGGATCATCAATAAATTAGTAGCACCGATCATAATTTTCATTTTTATTTTTTTATTTTGATTTATTTCGTATTTGTGTACTGTTTTATATATGAAGAAATAATAGTAAACAGTTCCTTCTATCAATAAAAAATGTACAAAACAATGTTGAATAGAATTTTGAATAGAAAAAAATTTTTATTTACATTGACATGTAAAATGATGTATGTTTTAATTAAATAAAATTTATTATAAAAGCAGTTTTTTTGTTTTTAATCGTAAAGTTTACTTCACAAACGTGACATTTTCAGTAACCGGGTTTACACACGTAATTGTTGTCCTTAAGCTTCACCATTTACGATACGACTTTCATTCAGAGACTGTAAAAATATGTTTACTCAGGGGAAAACGAAAATATTCTTAAATTCATTGTTTCGATTAAACAATAAAATTATTTATAAAAGTAAAGCATTAATTTAAGTTTGTAATAATGTAATTTATTTTAACTTTTGCGTACAACCAAATTTTATCCATCATATCAAGAATGAAGCTATAGTTGATATTAATACAACTACATTTAGTATCAGTTATTAGTAATTATATTTAAGTCATTAGCAGGGCCGGCGCAAGGCAGGTTCAGCGCGTTCGCCGGAACCCGGCCTCGCGTTTTGAAAGGCCCCGCGGTTTACAGAAACTCGCGATTGAAACTAATAAAAAATTATCTTCAGTCATCAATAAGCCAAGACCGATTTACATCTCTGGCTATTCTTTCAATAAAAAGCGAAGTAGCAAACTCAATCAATTTTGATGACACAATCAAAGATTTTGCGGCGAAAAAAGCGAGAAAAATTATGTAATATTCATTTTACAAAAAATATATGTAACATCCTTTCTATTTATAATAAATAATTCCTTATTGTGAAATTTAAGTATAGGATTTGAATGTGTATTCTGGCTCCAAAAAATTTTTGGAACCAGGCCCCGCAAAAGGTCACGCCGGCCCTAGTCATTAGTATTAGTAACACTAAAATTAATACTACTTATTAGTAACATCGCAATTGGAATTAATATAGCTATTTTAATAACATAGCTTGTTTTCTCAATTTTACTGCAAATATTGAACTAAGAATGTTTGCAAATTCACACATTATTACAAAATGATTAGTTGAAAATAAGACAAATATACGATTTTCATAGTAAACAGAATGAAAACTTGTATAGTGTAAGACACAGGAAGGCTCAAGGTCCATTGGTTGCGTGGATCGACGTACCGTTGATTAACCATGTCTATTAATATCAACTACATTTCAAATCCATCGATTGTTCGCATAAAAATAGTTATGTATTAAGAATTAAAAAAAAAAAAAATATACGTTATTTAAAATCCTATTCCATATAATTCCTATAAAATATGTACAGCATAGAGCACGGTGGGCTTTTCTAGAAAAAATAGCTGGAAGGAGGAATTTTAAAAATTCTAATTTTGAAGATATCAATTTAAAAAAATTTAATTACTAAATATAAAATTTACTATATAAATAAAATAGCATTACACAAAAATTCTAATTTTGAAGATATCAATTTATAAAAATTTAATTACTAATTACACATGAACGGTGGTACCATTTCCCCCAGAGAAGTCTACCTTGCTCTGTGTTGTACATAATATTCAAACGAAAAACGTGATTTTCTAAATATATTATCTATTTCACGCGTCTATTTTAAAAGAACGTGTGTATGAAAAAATAATTATACCCACGATGTAGTCATTTGGATGATTAACATCAGATCGCATTGATCCAAAAGATTAGATAAGATTAATTTAAAAATCTTCCAATTCCACATATCACACTTTTATTACCACAAAAACAATGCGAGTAATTAAAAATCATTATATTAACAAAAAGCATCGTGACGCCAAAGCTGGCTGGGTGATACACGTCGAAACATTGCTTCGAAAGCGGATTAAGATACACTGGTGCAGTGATAGCAGGTTTCTAAGAATTATTCAGCGCATACAACAGCAACAAAACCGTACATGCCTGGCATCACGTTTCATCCTTATCGAGTAATTTTGAGGAAAGAAATACAATGCTTCACTGCAATATATTCTACTTCTCGGTATAGTGCTGATAGTACATTTCACGGATGAGCAACGGTACGTTTCAATTTATCTTGTTAATTAAATGTTATATAAGTGATAACTCAAAATGAACAGAGAGTAAAAAAGAACAAAAAGAAGAAGTCTCGTAAATAAATTACTCTGTCGTCATTATTAATCGCACGCATGTTTCGCAACGTCTATACAATGCTCGCTTAATATTCTTAAATATATACGACAGCGTTTAAAGCGATCGTGATACGCGGCAATAAATAAAAAAAAAACGGAAAGAAAAAGAAAAGGAAAAAAAATACGAGCATGTAAGCGAAGAATCGTCGAATTGTCATGACGCAGCAGTTTTCGTTTCAATGATAAGCTACCGGACTTTTGAATTTACTTGATCGAATAACGAACGATTACGTAACATCATCATTCTTATTCGAACAACTCGTAATTCATGTCTCGTGACGGTTCAAACGGGCGATAGTTCGATTCTGGCCCCGATATTAATCCGGACTGCATGTAGGTCGATGGCATATCGGACACGTGACATGGCCCGTACGAATTCCAATGTTAGGTTAACTTTCCTCGCTGCGTTCAGCCGATCGGCGAAATTTCGATCGCCATTCATACAAGTTTCGGCGGAATTTCCGAGTCAGGGTCAATAAACAAAGAGAAGAAGGAGCGATGCAGTGGACGCTCGGTTCTAATCCGAATTTCATTGATAAAACCGCGATAACGAGCGTTAATCTTACTCAAGGAAGAAAAAATTACCTACGTGGTGTATATACGATAACTCCCATAGTCGCCATTTAAGCTCTCGAAGAGCTTCATTCGATAGTTCGATGCACTTGGAAGAAAGTTTCGATCGATCAAAGTAATCTTTGCGAGTTTCTCCTTAGAGTCGCATTTAAGAAACTGGTATTATTTGTCCAGCTTTTCCACGGTATGGTAGTACGCGCGCGTAGGAGTACATGTTCGAGAACATCCGTGGCAAAATATTTTCTTGTTTGTAACCAACTCTTTAGCACCTTTACTTCGCCAGCTGTTCCTTTCTCTCTTTCACAACAATCTTCCCCGGCACACTGAATCTACCTCCCGCTGATGCATATTAATCGAGCTCACACGAGCGACGCAACACACACACACACACACGTAAGTATATACACGCGCGTGCGATCGTATAGGTTAACTTCACTTTCGAACACAGAAATAATCGTCGAATTTGTCAGGTAACGTGTCAGAGAAGGCGCGTTTGATGGTTCTGCATTTCTGCACTCGGGGACATACCGCGCTCGTCTGATATCGTGTTTGATATTGAAACGCCATTCACCGATAGTTGAATCACCAGCGATCCTATCGCGGCACCAGAAGAAAGAGAAAAAAGTTCGTCAACGAGCGGTGAATTTTAATAACCGGTGTGGATTCGTCGTTGAACAGTCGTTTATCGCAACAGACGCGAAGACTTATCGTATCCGACGATTTCCTTTCTTCGAACATATTACAAGTTTCCTCGGACTCGTACGATTACCGAGACATCGCGAGATACGCAAGATAGGCATTCGATCGCGAACGGAGCGTAAACATAACTACTTAAAGTTGGCGGCGCGTATCTGAAAGAGGCTGACCCGACGCGGGGCGTTACCACTCGCTTCGAGAGGCTGGTGACTAGCGTCACTTTTCACTTTGGTATTGGACAGACAACTAGACGGTGGGAGCGTCGGCGTACAGTTGCGTCGCGTGTCCAACGATTCTTCATACGATCAGCTTGAGTATCCTTGGACAATTTGTTCATCGATTGTAAACTTAGCGTTTTACGTTAATCCGCTAAGTTAATGGGAGAGATTAATGGTCGATGTATCATTTCAAAACGCTACGTCTAATCATGAGAATATTTGCTATGGAATGGAGCATTGGTACCCTTTGAAACTAAAACGAAAACCAACAAAATTAACATCTCATGTTAATCCGGTTAGTTAATTTCTGAAATGAATATTTAATGTTCAACACTGGTTGGAACATTCGCTATGTAATGGAGCACTGGTACTATTTATAGCAAAAATAAAATCATATAGTTAACGTTCAAATTTTTTACAATTGAATAATTAGTAGAAGAAAAAAGGCGAACTTTGAATAGTTTCAGTATTACACTAATAATGTAAGATACTGATTTAAAAGTATATATTTGAAAATTAAATCATCATATCTTTAATAATTACAGGTTTAGTATGTCTGATCACACATGGCCTTTTCTACTGTCGCGGTCAATGTGTTGACGCGTGAAATAGGTATTGCATGTGCAA